AGGTTTTTTCCATTTGGTATTTAATTGAAGCGTTAACTTTAGTCTGAGCTAAATATGTAATATTTGAGCCTATGGGAGAGGTGTTTAAGTTATATTTCCATTTGATATTTGATTGAAGCATGAATTTTCGTCTGAGCTAAATATGTAATATTTGAGCCTAGGGAAGAGGTGTTTAAGTTATATTTCCATGTGATATTTAATTGAAGCATTAACTTTAGTCTGAGCTAAATATGTAATATTTGAGCCTAGGGGAGAGGTGTTTAAGTTATATTTCCATTTGATATTAGATTCAAGCATTAACTTTAGTCTGAGCTAAACATCTGAAACTTGAGCCTAGGGAAGGTGTGTTTATGTTATACATGTGACGAATTAAATATCCTGAATAAATGAATCAACCATCTAGTTTGGTAGCTATAACAGATATGTGCCCATTATGGTTTAATTATATCGACTTTTTTATTGCTTGCATGCTCTCTTTCTTACACTGCTTTGTTGGCCGTATTCAAACGAATAAATTTTTAGTTTGTAATAGTAACAATATGTCTTAGGTGGAAGGTGAAAATTTATCATAAATATTTGAGTATTTTAACCTAAAAATTTCTTGAGAGGGTAATTTTTGTACATAAGAATGCTGTTTTGATGTCCATCGACGCGTATTTGGAATGCTATTTTCGCTGATTTTTTGTGTGTGACTAACATTCTCAACTCAAACGGCAGTTGTTAATTATTTGCAATCGTGTAACATTAATAATGTGGTGCAAAACGTTTCTAACACAGTAAACCTTATTCTTTTTTTGTTACAGTTAAATCTTATTCGCATAACAAAACTGATTATAAATTGCAATAAAAGAAAAGGAGTCAGGAGAGGCTGTCCGTTTTTAGTTTAACTCTCTACCTACTAAATTCTGTTGTGTTACTTAGCAATTTTCATAAAACCGTTTCATTCTAGCTTTAAAAAATGTCCAAAGTATCTGCTGCAGCAACTTACCAAATATACTTGTTCTAATTATTTAACAATAAATTAATATAGTTAATTTTAAGCTTCGCCCATTTCAGATACTACAAGCAAAATACATGGCACTATTTGCATTTGTTTCTTTACTTACTCATTAACTTACACAATGATAAGCTCTTTTCGCGATGATAGGCCAAAGCACCTTTGGAACATCGCATACGACTGGGCTCTAAAATGAATGATTACCTTAGTGTTGGCGAAACATGTTGTTGTGAATAATCTTGTAAGCCAAGGTAGCTGTAAATAACATATGCCATACGATTCACATTGGAAGTTCGTGTCTGCCAAAGGCTTTGGTTCGTAAATCTTTTGTTTCTCGTTTGAGCCCAATGACTTACTCGTGAAAGGATGAGCACGACTTTCCTGCAGTAAGCCATATCCACTTGTAGACTTCGTTAGACTACTGCACAACAAGGAAGAAAGTTTATGTGCCTCTCTAGCCTTTAACTCCAAGGAGAAATAGCAAGACATCGATTTTTGGTATCTCTCTGTAGTTGGAACTACGTAGGTTCGTTGTTTACGTTTTTTTTCTTCTTTCAAAAGGAAGCGTAATAAACTTGCTTCGATATTCAAGTTGCTTGACGGGAATATTGTCCACGCTTCGAAAGTCATATTTTGATGATGAAAATTACCGAAGAAATCCAATGACCTGCTTTTTGTATCGTTTTCCTTGCATTCATATTAAATTCGCTTACGGATAGTGTCTAGGCAAATTGCAAAGCCAATGATAAATGAAATCAAAAAAGATTGTTTCTGTCTTCTTTAATTTTAATGCTGTTCACCGTTCGTGGTAAAACATGACATGCATTTTGTCACTAGTGAAGAAAATGATCTATCCAATCAGGTGCTCGGAAATTTTAGGCATATGATTTTTATTTCACCGTTTTGTTCCGCATAGATTTCAACACTCGTACGATAACTATACATATTTGGCGAAATTTAGCCGAAACAACTGTTTAACAACTATATTTGGCGAAATTTAGCCGAAAAGTCACATTGTCTGCATCATCAAAAGACAGGCACAAACAAACATTAATGAATTTAATATAAAAATACGACATTCCTTCGTCCGTTATATGTGGGATGTTCGCGACAATATTTTTTAATTATTATTTCAAAAGTAAGAAATCTTGTTTTTGTTTCAACGATCAAGGTTCAACATGCTTTCTTTCCTAGATCAATAGATTTTTCTGTCTTCAGTAAATTTTCTATATGAATTTAGTTAAGGTGTCCTTTGATTAGTCTTTCTTTGTTGAATGTTCATTCCAATAAAGTGCTTTATGTTTGTATGGTGAAATGTCTTGTCATTTTAACGATGGATGACAAAGAAAGGTAAAATTTGATCAGAGTTTTCGATAATAATAATATCCCCACTGTTATTTGAGGAAACAGAAGCAACAACACTTGCACCACGTCCACGAAAACCTTGCCTGACAACTTTCTTTGAGTTATAACTAGAAGGTATGCCATGTTGTGATGAATCTTCATATTCCTTTCAAGGAAGAATTCGACATAGCAATAACCCATCGCCATAACCAATACTGACTTCAGGAAACTCAGAGAAATAATTTCCACGACCATAGGCTTGCCTTCGTGCAAAATTCAACTGCAAATTATTTTTGAGAATACTGTCGATATTTTTCTTATCTGTTCCATGATATGCGAGAATTTCTTTATCTGGAATACCTTCATTACGAAATTTCTTCTTTGTTTCTTCAAACTTTTCTTCAAGATCCTTATTGACGACAATATCAATGGCAGTGATGTTTACATTCTGTAAACTGCTGTTGGCAGACATTCGTCGAAAGTGGGATTCGGCAAAATGGTAATACATCTCAAAAGGATCTTGAAAATTCACCTCTCTACTTGGATGCATCTTTTTAATCCGGAACGACTCTGTGGTATGGATTGAAGGTGATGGAGGGAGGACATCTTTGCTAATAGAATAGTGAACGATGTATTGGGGAAGAGCTTGATCTGGATCAAAAATAACAAATTCGTCATTCATCACAGCTGTTCCACGTGGGGCGTACACGGAGTCACAGTTTTGGGATCTCAGTTTTTTCTTGTTTAAAGTATAATCCGCTTCCTTCACTGTCAATGACTTTCCAAGAATGACCTGACACAGGAGCAACGTCTGAGAACCTTTTGTGTAGATATCTTGAGCACTTTTCGAAGAATCTGTTGCAAAGTAGATTCCTTGACCAAACATTCCAGGTTTATTTGGTAGTCTGGGCTTAGCTGGAGGCATTTTGAAGCCTTTTCTAACAATATTTCGTAAAGCTTCGTTTGAGGTACCATGAAATTTTGTGTCAATATAGTCACCAAATGCCTTCGATTTAGCTGTTTCGAATTTTTTCTCAAGTTCAAGATTTGTGACTTTTTCGATTTTTGTGATTCTTGGAAACCATTTGTGAAAAGGTTGAATAAATTTCATGACTTGATCTTTCACTTTCTGATACTCTGCAGCCGTAGAATCACTGGCACGTAACTGATCTCTTGAAAACTTAGGAATTTTTGCGAATTTCATCTTCTCTTCAAGTTCATTAACTCGCTTCCTCGCTGCAGCGCGGAATTTTCCCATCTTTTTTCGATATAATTTTTGACAATGCTTACATTTTCCTTTTTCGCAATCTTCTCCACAAGCATTTTCACAAGGATGACCACATTTACGTAACTTGCCACAAGGTTTAACAGGACATATTACTTCCTTGTCATTTTGACAGCATTCCTTCTGGATTTCGTGGCCATATTTGCATTTAAAGGGTACCTTGTAGCGACATTTCCAAGTTATTGGTTCTGAACATTTTTTCTTCTTTGGAGAAGGATGACCACAGTCTGGAAAGACGTAATTAATTTTTACATCACATGTATCGTGTCCATGAGGTTCTCCACATGTCTTCTGACATTGATGGACTCCACATGAGTTCATTTTTTTACAAGGATATGGACATTTAATATCTTCATGGCACTCTTTCTCGATCGTGTGGCCGCATGTGGGAAAGGTTGCCGTTACAATTACTTTACATTTCAATTTATGTTCATCTTGCCAGCATTTTTTCTTAATCTTGTGACCACAATCAAGCTTCACTGTTACCTTTGTTTGACAGTTTAATTGGTCGATATTCATGTGACATTTTCGCTTTACATAGTGGCCACAATCTGGAAATGTGTCTCTAACGGACACTTGGCACTTAAAGTGGTTGTGTCTGGGAAAACAAGACAACCTACATGGATGCTGATCACAATGAGAATAGTAATCACCGCATCGTTCTTTACACAGTAGCGTTGGCTCTTCAATCAAATCGCAGATGCTATCACCATTCTTTGCCAAATACTTTGACGTACTGTGTTTGAAACACTGCAGTAGTATCTTATCACCCACACATCCTTGCTCTTCTAACGATGTGATGAAAGAAGACCAGCAAGAGTTCTTAGCACCACGTAGTGTACCTGCATTTCCTACAAAGTACATGCCACATTTTGCTCTCGATTGAGCTACGCAACGGCGATTCATCTTTTTCAAGAACCCAATCTTGTTTTCATCATTTGAACGAACCAACGAGATTATAACGTATTTGTTTTCGTCACCCTGGTACATATCGATTGTTTGCACTTGAACAAAAGAATCCCAATCATCTTCGTTATCTTGATGCTTTTTTATTTTCTCATTTTTAGCTTTGATTAAATGTCGTAGTAGTTTTGTTTGGCCTGAGTATGCTGCTAGCACCGTGATATCTTTTGGCTGTATACCGTTACATAACAAATATTGAACGAGTTGTATGATTCGTTCGGCTTCTTTGGGATTGCTGTAAGTTCTGTCTTTAATCTCAGGATCATTGTGAGACCAAAAAAACATGGATTTCTCAATACATTTTAACGGCTCATTCTGTGACACCAAAGGAAGATTATCTTGAAGATGTGGATAAATATCTTTGAGCAATGCTGAAAACTCGGGACGCATTCGGTTTTGCTTTCTGAGTGATTAGTATGGGAAACCAGATTCTATCAATCTTTCCATCATGGAAATATCAAATTGAAACGTCTTGCACAACTCATATGTGTCGACTTGTGGCCTAAGTTGCTTATGATCCCCGATAAGTATGAGATGTTGAATGGATGGAGTGAGCGCAGCCAGCAAGCTAGGTTCGAGTATTTCAGCGGCTTCTTCAATAACGATCACACTTGGGCCAATTTCGTGAAGTAAGACGTGATTGATGGACGCTCCGGTGATGGTAACACCAATGATCTTTTTGCTTGACAAGTACTCAACTTTACCTGTCATTTCCAACTCTTCTTTTTGACCTCTCAGTGTCTGTAATTGATCAACTAAATCGTTTAATTCTTGGGACAAGCTTCTTGTTTTGTCGTTCATTATAGCATAAAGAAACTGTAATTTTTCAAACTCGTTGAAACTCCACATATTTTGTACTGAGCGTATTTGTGAACTCGCCACCATATCAGGAGGGTAGACGGACAAATCAAGCAGTCGTTCGTTTCCACTCCCTTTGCTTTCTAAATCGAATAGAATTAGGTCTTCTTTACGACTAATCTGTTTTGCTGCTGCCTCTATTCTAGTTTCTGTGAGCTGTTTTACGTAATCTTCGTCACCGCTGTCATCTCCATCTGTCAAATCTTCAAATTGTTCCGTTTCTTTCCTGCTTGTATTTTCTGCTTTAATCTGTAATATAAATTCAGATTGAAACTGTTTCATTTGTAACTCCTTTCTTTTTGGAATCCAATAATCCAACACTGTTTGGAAAGCATAGATACAATTATAACCAACGATCTCATTTTGTGATAAACCGGGAGATAGTGCCTTTTGTAGGCATTCTGAAACTGAACCATATTGTATCACGGCTTTTTGTAATTGTAACTCCATCCACCTTTTATCAATGAACATTTTCTCGGAGTTATTGTAAACCAATCTACCTTGTCCCCATGGAGCGTCAGCAATAAACGATTTCAGTTGCTCTTCCTTCATCTCATCAACGAGACTACTTTGAGTAATATACGAGTTTCTTTCCAATTCTTTTGAAATTTCCTTAATTTTTTCCTCAATGTTGTTGATTTCGTCGGAAGTCATTTTTATCATAGCGTTCGTGGCTGAATCGTAAGTACTTTCGTTCCGAAAATTTTTTAAGTTACAAGATTCTAATTTAGGCTCTTTTGATCGACTTCCAATCCTGACGATATCATTTATGTCGCAAAACTCCAACATGTGTTTGAGAAACTCGTCAAGAGCGTGGCTCTTGTACGTCAACAATAAAATTGGTTTTTCCAATTTTGGAGAAAGTGATAGCAACAACTGAACTATTTTCACACCAATGAACGTTTTACCACAACCTGGTGGACCTAATGAATAAAATTGTTGTTGCTGCGATTAGGAATATTTTTAACTACCGAAAATCCTGGAAATATTTTATGCGAAAAATAGAATCCTATACTGGTTGAACTGAAATTAAAAAAATTGTAAAATTGCTCTCTTTTTCATATTTAGCGATGTCATGAGTGCTCGCAAGCAAGGAATTTGATATTTTTTGATCTTGTGCTGAAAGTTGTACGTGTATAATCACTGAAGACAATCAACCAAGTTAACCAACGCTATAAAATTATCAAAATTTTGATGTAGACGCATACAAATATATTTTATTTAATAAATCTTCAGTAAGGAACCGCATGCGTATTGCTGGGATGATTAGCCAACGTTTATATTTTAATTAAGATAGGTTATTTATCGTAAAAAAGAATGAATATTTTCAAAAAACGCGCCGCTTGGTGTAAATACCAGATATCTTTCGATTAATACATGTGTGTAACATAGATTACTTCATGGTTGGAGTGCGTATGATTTTTATGCACGAGTTGAAAAGGATGGCAAACAAATAAGTGAGCCAAGCGAGAGTTGATTTTCAGTCCTTCTCAACAAGTGTTGCAAAGTTTTTTCTAAAGTTCAATTGTTTGTCGCAAATTTTTGTATTATTTCATGAAACTTTAAGTCTGATCGAAAGTGGTGATCATTATAAGAAAAATTAAGTTTACAACAAACATCTGAACCTTCGAGGTACGTTTGCACTATTGGGCGAGAAGTAATGTGAAAATGAGCGTATTTGGGTTACTCTATTCATCTTTTGTGTATTACTGCGTTGCTGCAGTCACTTCACCCTCACCTTGGATGATGCCAATTCTGTTCTTCAATACATGCGTGAGCGCTATTCTTTGACTTTCTTCCAAAGATGTATTTTTACTTCCCTTGAAAACTTTTAAGAATTGCTTAACTTTCATGTGCCCTCCAAGAGACTCTGAACTATGTTTAATTTCATCAATGCCTTTATCAATATTCTTTGAAGATCCACTGGAATAAGTGTCTTCTATGTCATTCTCCTTGCCGAAATACTCTGAACTTATATCTGAGTTATCGTCATCACTACTGTCATCACTATTCTCGGACAATTCATTTGAATGAATGACATCAGTGTCATCAATGAGACTCTTGCGGGAAAGCGCAAATTTAGAAAACGTTTCCTCGTTTATGTACTCCGGAAGTGTCTCCGAACCATCGTCATCATCACTATTTTCTGACGATTCATTGGAATACATTTTTTCTGAGTCATCGTCCAGATTGGAAGTCTCCCGGTAAACTACCGACGTATCTAATGTCGCCTCTCTTAAATACTCTGGAAGTTTTTTTGATGCTTTTGTGTACACGATCTTTTTTTGCAAAGAAAAGTTCTCCTTGTCAAATTCTTCCAGACATTTTAAGATTGGACTCAAGGAATGATAATATGTAGGAGATTCCACCATCACAGCAAAACCTATAATTTTTAAAGGTTGCGTTCTTTTAAGGAAACTCCCTTAAAGGTTGCGTTCTTTTAAGGTATCTCCCTACAGTTCACCCGAGATTCGGGTGTTTCAGGTAACATTCACTTACAACATTATTTTGATCAAACACACTCAAACTTTGGAAAAATAAACTATACGGAAATATTGAAGAATGCAAATAAAGTGTAAAAATGCTTGAATAGGATAACTGCTTGCGTTGTTTTGGCAACCATGTCTCATTTTCTTTTATACTTTTATCGTCTAGTTTTTAAGGAATTGACCGTATCTTTTTTTTTTGTTTGGCGAATTTTTCTGATTTTTTGTTATTCATCAAGAAATGTATTGCTTAATAATGGAGGAGTTCTATGAATAATTTTTTAATATTTGAAAATTTTGGCTGCAAGAAAAATGTACATAGATTTTGTTCTATTTTGCGTATGTTATATTTTTTGTTGTAATAAACATCCACACGAACTTTTAACAAAATTTACAGAAGGAAAAACGAAAAAATCTTTATTAAAGTCAGCGTGGCCAGGCATTTATGTAAAAAAATCGACTCGACATAATCATAATATGCGCATTCGAATTGTCACCAGTCCCCTGCTTAGTAATTATAGGGAGCCTCCGTAATGACCATATGATGTCATGATTGTCATGAGAACTCATTTTGAGAAAAATTTCTTTTGTTTTCTGCTTATGCAATGACTTTATCTACTCGACGAATGAGCGGAAAGAAGTATTTAATGCTTACAATATGCATCGAAAAGGAAAATTTTTTAAATACCTGCTTATGTTTGAAGCGAGATTACGATTTCACTTATACTCTTGCGATTCTCGTCTAACAAGTCTAGCACGATTATCTGATTTTCATTTAGCGGATCTGTATCCCGTGTGGAAACAGTTGTCCATATGACGTCATCAAACTTCCGGCTTAGTGAGATGCACACCAGGTTGCCATACATAAGTTGGGGGGAAGCTTCCCATTTTTTCACTTTTTTGGTTGGTGTAAAGTGAATTGCCAGAGAGAATCGACCATTCTGAAGTGCAAAACCAGCTAGATGAAGATTATAGTAAACATTCATATCTCGAAGATCAAGTGTGGACGATTTCAGATCTTTAATACCATGTTGTATTGCAGAGAATGCCTCTGCACGAGTCAACCGAAAATACGTATCCATATATTGCTCAGGATTGTCGTAAGGAGAGTTCAGCCTCACTGGTGTCAGGTTTTTGTCTTTCTCTATCAAATTGCCGTGAAGCTCTTCTTCATTTAGTATCAAAGGTAAATCCAACCAGTTACATCCTTTCACGACAAAGCCATCAATTCAACGACAACAGAGTGCATAAAAACTTTTGTGTTGAGCTACTTTATATTTTAGTGCTCAAGGCATTGAGCAACTTTATATTTTAGTGCTCAAGGAAGCGAGTCACAGTTGGGAATTTGCAGATTGCTTCTTGGCAAGTGTTGCGCAAGAGCTGTGCAGAAAGAAATTTGTCTTCTTTTTCCATGTAGAATTTGTCGGTTTTGGTGTAGTTGCAAGATAGAATTGTTTTAGGAATGCTCAACAACTGCTCATTTTGAGTGTCTTGAAAAACTGTTCCACGTGTAATGTTCTTTATTGCCTTTTCTTGTAAAGATTTGTAAGCCTTTCCATGCTGAAGAAGCAACTGTATAAGGTCTAATAATGCTTCAATATACGATATGTTTACCGATCCATCATCTGTTAAAAGTGGAAAGCAAAATTAGCAATGTGTTCTACTACATCAAAAAACAAATTGTGTATTTTCAACATGCCCTTGATGGACAAATGCGTGTTATACGAGAGGAAAATTTTAGTTAGCATTCATGTATAGAAGACCTGCAGGGGTACCATCATTAATACTAATAAATATTAATGAATAGGAGATAAAGCCAATTCAGCAAATATGGCAAGAGACGATAGGCACATAAAACCATGAAAAGTGATCACACTCCATCACACTACAAATATTCTTACGTGAAATAATCACTGTGAAACAATCCTTCATGCTTCAGAACTTTTGAAAGTATGTAATATATCTAAGTCAGGGATACCAACCTTGATTGTTTCGAAAAACTGGTGACCCAAGATATTTCCACATGGATGTGCAGGGCAAAACTTGAGTTAAAACTGTCTTGCGCATGGCACTATTCAAGTCCATGTTCAATCCCCGTACGTACTTGACCACGTCCTTTTGAAATCTTAGTGAGTATTGACACACGCGTACTTTAATCGCCATTGGTCTGGACTTGTCTCGATCTCCAAGTATAAATTCCTAAATGTCTCCTTCAGCAACCGGTAGAACTTCTTTCAAAATGTAGTTTGGATACAAAAAGACATCTTTTGTTTTTTCATAGCCATCTGGAAGCTCAGAAAATGGCCTGACAAACCACGATGTTTCTTTTCTTATCGGACACAATCTACCCTTCAACCATTGCGTCGTTTCTCGAGCTTCCATTTGTATCGTCTTACATTTTTTTCTCATTCATGTTCGTGGTTGTTAAGTCTGGGTATTTAGCTTTTGATTAATTTCCTGAGTAGAAGAACATTGAATTAATTCTAAATGAAACTTTTTGATCAATGTTAAGCCAGAGTCTCGGTAAACGTTTGGATGCGTGTTGGAGAGACATGTTTGTGCAACATGTTAAAAACCGAAAGTGAGATACTGTTTGTAATTATATCGATATAATATGTGATTTACATAAGTATAGAGATAACCTTGGATCGACATAAAGAAATTTTTTTCTCATTCCTCTATTTTTGCGGAAAATTGTACCGGTAATAAACACTGTTAATAAGAAATGTCGGACTTTTAGCAAAGTATTTTCATTGCACGAATATCTTTTAGCGATTTCAATAGAGCTGTTGTAATTAAACCATTTGTTCATCATGGTGTAATTTTGTCGTAGTATTCTGCTCGTGTTTCGACGACGAGGGCATGCTTTAAATAATACATCTCTGTCCGACGAAAGCAACGATATTCATCACAACATATAAGTACTTGCATTTGTATGATTTTTATACTTTATGTAGAAAAATGTTATAGAACTCTCCATTTTACGAAACATTCCATACAATATCTGATGGAGTTAGCTGTATGTTTAAGCAAGTCTTTGTGTGTAAATATCTCATAAACCGTTAAACTGTAACAACAGTGCCTCAACTAAATGGTGAGGAATCAAACAATCAATTTGTATTTCATTTCGGGGAACTAGAGTTCAAATTCTTGGCATTGAAAGGCGATATCTTTGAAAATTAAGCTTTGATTTCATATGGCTAGCAGTACACCGGATGCTCCCCCCCCCGGTTGTAAAACAGTAAGCATTAGCGCACTATGTAATATCGGCGGGCTCCGAGAAAATTTTACCAAAAATCACTGTAAATGTTTCGATCATCAGTAAAAAACGCCATTGAAATTAAGTCGAAAAGGTCTTACAATATTCCCATTACTGAATTATATGTATGTGAAACACAAGCTATTCAATGTTTGCTAAAGGAAATTCATACTGTTTAGAGAAACGTCTGCACAACTCTCAATGCCAGAACTGATGAGGAATGAAATAATTATTTGCACTTCATTTTCCAAGAACTAGGGTGTGAATTCTTTGTATTGACAGGTGCTGTCCTCGAGGAACATGTTTTTATTTCATGTACGGTTTTACTGTCAACTAGATGTATTGCCAACACCAAAGTAAAAATTCATGGGAAAATTAAGTCGAAAAAGACAACACAATATTCCCATGATTGAATTGTGTCATGTACGTGAGATGTAAGCAATTCGATATCTTTTAATAAAGACGTGGAACAATTTCGCATAGATGCAATTTGATGACGGCAAAGAAAGCAAATAACGACTCTCGACGTTAAAATGATAGTTCTTGTGTACTTTCGCCAGCCTTATATTTGAAAAGTTTATTTTTTGCGACCCTCGGATGCATCATAAATATCATTTACCTTGTTTTCTTTCCCCACCTTAGCAGACATTTGCATTCGCATCTTTCGACCATTGAATTTTAACACAAAAACTGCCATCTATTTTTGAAGAACTTAAAACTGCCATCACAGCAAAAATAAGAGCCATCCCGAAAGAGGAGTGTATAAAAGTGATTCAAAACTTTGCCAGACGAGTACAGGTTTGCTTGCAACGAAATGGTGGACATTTGGAACACATCTTGGGAAAACCATAAATTGACTAAAAATTGACAGAAATAGCCGAAACTCTTGTGAATAGTCTTCCATAAACTGAATGATGTGTGTTTGTAATTTGAAATAAATAGCTTTTTAATTAAAGCCATAATTGAAATTTTCATGGGTACGCATCTTTTTAGGTCACCCTGTACTACATCAAATAGCTTTGAATATGCTACAAATTTGGAAAGGAACGCTTCTAAGGCCGAGAGCAAATTTTTCTTCAGTATGAACCGCCCTGAACGATAAATAGCGTTTTCATTTATTTATTTTTATATTGATGCAATGCATGTTGTAAAACGGTCGATGTGGCTTGTTGAGGCTGAAATTGAATTGTTTTCTACAAACTTCACTACGTCTGGATAGTCAATTCAATCTCGCTATAACTACTATATTAATTCATATTGTTCTCTCTTTGAGCAATTTACATGGCTTGTAAACAAATTTATTGGAAAAATTAACACTTTTGGATCACAGTCAAGAAATCGTGAAACGCCGTCCGCTGCTGCAGCCAGTCAGATTGCAGTATATAAAAAAATCACTTCGCATGCATAAATAAAAAAATAACAGTTAATTACTTATCACGAATAACCATATTTTTGCTATAAATAATGGGTTTGAAAATTGGAACCTTTGAAATCACCCGACGTCTAGAATTTTCATGATTCAGGAGTAATTGATCCCCGACGAGGCGTAAACACAATTGAAAATGATAAAATATACGAATTGCGGATACTGTGCAATTCAAATATATTGCATGAAATTGTATTCAGTTGAGTATTTTCAATTGCAATTATCGCTAACAGCAAAGCATGCCGTCTTATTAGTTTTAACAAGTACTAAGTGAGGATTATACGGATACAGTTAATAATCTGTTTTGTCCTTGTTATTCTGGAACGATGACAATTTTATATTTGTTTTATTCTAATCAAGGAAGCGTCGAGTAAATGTATTTACGACTGTTTGTTCTTTGGTCAGTGGATTTTTACATCTTCTTTAGCAAACGTCCCTGTGAACTACTTTCGTTATCTTTACATGTATGTAAACTCCATTACATACGGAAAATAATAAAATAATATCATTATTTTAACGATGAATGACAAAAAAAGGTAAAATTTGATCAGAATTTTTAATGATGACGATTTTCCACCTTGTAATGGAGCTAGCAGAAGCACCATAACTTGCACCACCAACGCGTCGCCTCACAACTTTCTTTGAATTATAACTTGAAGGTATGCCATGTCGCGAAGAATCTTCATATTCCTTTCCAGGAAGAATTCGACATAGCAATGTGGAAATCTGTGGAGATCCCAAGCATCATCTCCAATACTGTGGAAATCCCAAGCATCTTGCTTTTCTCTTTCCAAAGTCGCAAAGTTCAGAAAGTTTCCCTAAGTTTTTTTAAATGTGCTCCATTACTTTGCGACAGTGGTCAAATATCAAAATAGCTGCTTAAACATGCAAAAAGTTGACTGTCAACGATGAACAACAAAGAACGGTAGAATTTGATCTGAATTTTCAATGATGATTATTTTACCAAACGCACGTGTCGCTGGGTTCGATTTGCCAAGTAAAACTTTCTTTGAATTAAAACCAGACGGTACATTAGCAGAGCTAGAATCAACGAATTCTTTTCCTGGAAGTATTCGACACAACAATAAACCATCGCCATAACCAATACTGACTTCAGGGAACTCAGAGAAATAATTTCCTCGACCATATTTTTGTCTTTCTGCTAAACTTACCTGAAGGTTATTTTTGAGAATACTGTCGATGTTTTTCTTATCTGTCCCATGATATACGAGAATTTCATTATCTGGAATGCCTTCATCACGAAATTTTTTCTTCTTTGCTTCAAACTTGTTTTCAAGATCCTTATTTACGACGATGTCAATAGCAGTGATGTTTACATTCTTTAAACTGCTGTTGGCAGACATTCGTCTAAAGTGAGATTCGGCAAAATGGTAATACATCTCAAACGGATCTTGAAAATTTATCTCTCTACTGGGATACATCCTTTTTATGCTGAACGACTTTGTAGTATAGATTGAGGGAGATGGAGGTAAAACGTTTTTGCTGTTAGAGAATTGAACGATATATTGTGGAAGAGCTTGATTTGGATCAAAAATAACAAATTCGTCATTTATCACAGCTGTTCCACGTGGGGCGTACACGGAGTCACAGTTTTGGGATCTCAGTTTTTTCTTGTTTAATGTATAATCCGCCTCTTTCACTGTCAATGTTTTTCCAAGCATGACCTGACACAGGAGCAACGTCTGATGACCTTTTGTGTAGATTTTCTGGGCACTTTTCGAAGAATCTGTGGAGAAATAGATTCCTTCACCAAACATGCCTGGTGTATTTGGTGGTTTGAGTTTGGCTGGGGGCATTTTGAAACCTTCACGAACGATACTTTCTAAATTTTTTGTGGACGTATCATAAACTTTTGTGTCAATGTAGTCACCAAATGCCTTGGATTTAGCTGATTCGAAATTTTTTTCTAGTGTAAGATTTGTGACTTTATCGATTTTTGTAATTCTTGGAAACCAGTTGAAACAAGGTTGGAAAAATGTAAGCACTTGATCTTTCACTTTCTGATACTCTGCAGCTGTAGGACCACTGGCATGTAATTCATCTTTTGAAAACTTAGGGATGTCTTCTTTGTTAATTTTGTTAATTTTCCCTTCAAGTTCATTAACACGCATCTTTGCTGCAGCTCGAAATTCCTTCATCTTTTTGCAATATAATCTTTGACAATGCTTACACTCACCTTTCTCACAATCCTCCCCACAAACATTTTCACAAGGATGACCACATCTACGTAACATTCCACAAGGTTTGACAGGGCATATTACTTCCTGATCGTTTTGACAGCATTCCTTCCGGATTTGATGGCCATATTTGCATGTAAATGGTACCTTGTAGCGACATTTCCAAGTTATTGGTTCGGTACATTTTTTCTTTTTTGGTGAAGGATGACCACAGTCTGGAAAAACGTAGTCAATCTTTTCATCACATGTATCGTGTCCATGAAGCTCTCCGCAAGTTTTCTGACATTTGTGGACTCCACATGAGCTCATTTTCTTACAAAGATATGGACATTGGATAAGTTTGGTATTTTCATGGCACTTTTTCTCAATAGTGTGGCCACAACTAAGTTCCAATTTTTTCTTGGATTTACAGTGTAACTGGGTGATGCTTGTTGCACATTTTCGCCTTACATGATGGCGACAATCTGGAAATTTGTCATTTACCCACTCTGGGCATTCATAATGGTTGTGTCTAGGAATACAAGACAACTTGCAAGAATGTTGATCACAATGAGGATAGTATTCACTGCATCTTTGTTGACATAGTAAACTTGGATTTGCAATCAATGCACGGATGCTATCGCCATCCTTTGCAAAAAACTTCGAAGAACTGTGTTTGAAACACTGCAGTGGTATCTTTTCCCATACACATCCTTGTTCTTCTAACGATGTGATGAAAGAAGACCAGCACGAATTCTTTGCATCCCGTAGTGTATCTGCATTCCCCACAAAATACATGCCACATTTTGCTCTTGATTGAGCGACGCAACGACGATTCATCTTATTTAGGAAACCTATCTTGTTTTTATCGTTAGAACGAACCAACGAGATTATAACGTATTTGTTTTCGTCACCCTGATACATATCGATGGTTTGCACCTGAACAAAAGAATCCCAATCATCTTTGTTATCTTGATGCTTTTGATCATATTTTTTGTCTTGATCCTTTTTTATTTTCTCATTTTCTGCTTTGATTAAATGTCGAAGTAGTTTAGTTTGTCCTAAGTATGCTGCGAGCACTGTGATATCTTTTGGCTGTATACCGTTACATAACAAATATTTAATAAGTTGTATGATTCGTTCGGCTTCTTTGGGGTTGCTGTAAGTTCTGTCTTTAATCTCAGGATCGTTGTGAGACCAGAAAAACATGGATTTCTCAATACATTTTAACGTCACGTTCTTTGACACCAAAGGACGATTATCTTGAAGATTAGGATAAATATCTTTGAGCAACGCTGAAAACTCGGGACGCATTCGGCTTTGCTTGGCAAGTGATTCGTATGGGAAACGACATTCGATCAATCTTTCCATCATGGATGTATCAAACCGAAACGTTTTGGACAGCTCAAATGTGTCGACTTGTGGTCTGAGCTGTTTATGATCTCCAATGAGAATGAGATGTTGAATGGATGGCGTGAGCGCTGCGAGCAAACTGGGCTCTAGTATTTCAGCAGCTTCTTCCACGATCACGATACTCGGGCCAATTTGGTGAAGTAGGTCATGATTAATAGATGCTCCTGTGATGGTTACACCAATGATCTTTTTCTTTGACAGGTACATGACTTTCTCGGTAATTTCTAACTCTTGTTTTTGACTTTTCAGTGTCTGTAACTGATTAACTAAATCATTTAATTCCTGCGAAATACTACTCGTTTTATCATTCATGATGGCGTAAAGCAACTGCAATCTTTGAAACTCGTTCAAACTCCATATATTTTGCACGTAGCGTATTTGAGAACTCACAACCATATTAGGAGGGTAGTCAGATATGCTAAGTAATACATCGTTTCTATTTTCTTTATTCTTAAAATCAAATAGAATTAGGTTTTTAGAACCCATCTGTTTGGCTGCTGCCTCTATTCTAGTTTCTGTTAGCTGTTTTACATAATCTTCGTCACCGCTTTCTTCTTCATTTGTCACGTCTTCAGTTTGCTGCGTTTCTTCACTGTTTCTATCTTCTGCTTCAATCTGTATTATAAACTCTGACTGAAACTGCTTCATACGTTGTAGCTCCTTTCTATTTGGTAACAAATAATCCAAGACTTTTTGAAAAGCACAGACACAATAGTAACTAACGACATCCTTTTGTGATAATTTGCAACGTAATCCCTTTTGAATGCATTCTTTGATGGAGCCATATTGCATCACGGCTTTTTGTAATTGTAACTCCATCCACCTTTTATCGACGATCTTTTTCGCAGAGTTTTTCCAAACCAATCCACTTGGTCCCCATGGAGCGTTCGCGATAAATGATTTCAGTTGCTCTTCTTCCATCTCATCGACGAGACTACTTTGCGTGAGGTACGAGCTTCGCTCCAGCTCTTTTGAAATTCTCTCAATTTTTTCTTCAATGTTGCTTATTTCGCGTAAAATGTTGTAAATCTCAGCGCTCGTGGCTTTGTCGTATTTAAATTTTTTCCGAAGATTTTTTAAGTTACAAGACTCCAATTGAGGCTCTTTTGATTGACCTCCAATCCTGACCATATCATCAATGTCACAAAAATCCAACGTGTGTTTGAGAAACTCGTCAAGAGCGTGGTTTTTGTACGTTAACAGTAAAATTGGTTTTTCCAATTTTGGACACAGCGATAGCAACAACTGAACAATTTTCACACCAATGAATGTTTTACCACAGCCAGGTGGACCTAATGAATATAACAAATTTTGGAATGACTGGTTTGTGGAAGTATAATTTGTATATGTAATAGCATGATTTCGAGTGCAATTTGGCGAGTGAGTTTTTCAAAGACCAACAAAAATTGCCGGCAAGCTGTTATCAACCGGCACGTATTTTTCAATTCTGTCCGATATCATTTTTCACAACACCATAGCTTCCACACACATAAAGGTACAACAAGGTATTTACTTTTAGCAGTGTTTGTCTTTTTGTCGAAAAACGTTTTGCAAACGATAAACGTAAAAAGGAAATCACTGAAAACTTACGCCAGCTATTGTTATTGCTTTGTTCACATTAATGTAACGTTCCCGGCTATGAAATGTTTTATTTTGATTGGCTTTTAGATCACTTATTTGTTGACTAGCCAGTCAGGAGTGCATTTTTCAAAAATAAATTGCACTGGCGTTTCGCATTTTTGCACTGGTATTTACGATAAATTGCACTGCTCTTATCGAATCAGAAGTGAGAAGTTTTTTCATTTATGTTATTAAATAAATTTGTACTGGGTGTATCATGAAAAAATTGAACAGTTATAAAAACGTCACAAAAGTCACCGCAGCGCGCAAAATTTACAAAAACTTTTAATGGAAATAGTTATCCAATAGTTTGTCTGACAGTAAAATTGTAGCAAATAATTAACATTTTTAGATAAAAAATTATGTTACCGAGAAGTAGTTATGAAATAGCTTACGTAGCTACATAAGTAAACACGTGTGTGTAGTCAATCAATTATTACTTCGCGAGTAATACTATCGAAACACTACACACGTGTGTCTGGGGTAGAATCTCGCTTGTCTGATTTGGCTTAAATTATTTGCTTAAGAAGCGTTCCATCTATTTTAGTTCAACGAGTAAAACAGCTGAAAAGCAATTGCAACACTTAACGTTAAATGTGGCAGATGTTGTTCAAACTAACAAAGTTTTATTAACTTTGGCTAATGCGAACGCTTATCGCTTTCACTGAAAGGGAAATCATTTAGAATTATATTTTAAAAATAAAGTAGTGCGTACATAATTAGTTTCTTTGTACGTAATTGTATGCAAAATAGTATAATATTAATTTAATATTTTGAGAAATACTATAAGTAAACGGCCTCTTTACTGTGTTCATAATTTGTATATTGATGCATAGTGCTACAAAAACCTCATCCTCACCTTGAATAACGCCAATTCTGTTCTTCAACGCTTGCACCAACGCTGTTCTTTGACTACTGTCCAAAAATGTATTTTCACTTTTTTCAAAAACTTTTAACAAATTTTTGACTAACATGCGTCCTTCTAGACTTTCCTCTGATCCATGTGTAATTTCATCGTTGTCATCATTAATCTTCTTTCGAGATTCATTCGAATAAATGTTTTTCGAGTCATCCTCCTCGCTTAAATAAAAGTCATAGGAGTCATCTTCTAAGATACTGTCCTCAGAGGGCGCCGATTTCGAAAATGTTGCATCGCTTGTATACTCTGTAAGTATTTCAGAGCCATTGTCATCACTATTCTCTGATGATTCATTCGAGTAATTGACTTCTGAGTCATTATCAATAGGATTCTTCCAAGCAAGCGTAAATTTGGAACATTTCTTCTTGATCGAATACTCCGAATGTATGTCTGAGCCATCGTCATTATCGTCATCACTATTCTCTGATGATTCATTGGAATAAATTTCTTCCGAGTCATCGTCCCGATTGGAAGTCTCCCGGAAAACTACAGACGTATCGAATGTTGCCTCTCTTAAATACTGTGGAAGTTTTTTTGAAGCTTTTGTGTACACAATCTCTTTTTGCAAAGAAAAGTTCTCCATGTCGAATTCTTTCAGACTTTTTAAAATTGGACTCAAGGAACGATAATATGTTGGAGATTCCACCATAATTGCAAAACCTGTAGTTTTAAAGTGTTGCGTACTTTCAATGATGTCATCTCCATGATGTTGTGATTGTTATTGAAATTAATTGGACAAAAATTACTAGAATTTTCTAATCAACTCATAACTTTATCTACTGTCATTGCATAAGTTGTAAGAAATAAGAAATATTCAAGGTTAACAATATGCATTCGATAAAACATGATTAATAACATTAACAAAATTTAAAGACGAAATTCGTACCTGCTTGTGTATGAAGTGAGTTTACGATTTTACTTATATTCTTGCGATTCTCATCTAATAAGTCTAGCAGGATGATCTGATTTTCATTTAGCAGATCTGTATCCCTATTGGAGACAGTTGTCCATATGATGTCATTAAACTTCTGATTAATCGAGATACACACCAGGTTGCCATGCATGAGTTGGGTTGAAGCTTCCCATCTCCTTACTTTTTTGGTTGGTGTAAAGTGAATTGCCAGAGAGAACCGACCATTCTGAAGTGCAAAACCAGCTAGATGAAGATTATAGTAAACATTCATATCTCGAAGATCAAGTGTGGACGATTTCAGATTTTTAATACCATGTTGTATTGCGGAGAAGGCTTCTGCCCGAAGTAACCGAAAATACGTGTCCATATATTGCTCAGGATTGTCGTAAGGAGTGTTCAGCCTCACTGGTGTCAGGTTTTTGTCTATCTCTACTAAATTACCGTGAAGTTCTTCTTCATTTGGTATCAAAGGTAAATCCAACCAGTTACATCCGTTCACGACAAAGGCATTATCTCCTCGACAATTCAACGACAACAGAGTGCATAAAAAATTTTGTGTTGAGATATTTTGTATTTTAGTGCTCAAGGCATTTACTGTTGGTAGAAGGAAGCGAGTCACAGTTGGGACTTTGCAGATTGCTTCTTGGCAAGTGTTGCGCAAGAGCTGTGCAGGAAAAAAAATATTTTCCTCTACCATGTGGAATTTGTCGTTTTTTGTGTAATTGCAAGAGAGGATGGTCTTGGGAATGCTCAACAAATGCTCATCTTTGGTGTCTTGAAAAACTGTACCACGTGTTATGTTCTTTATTGCCTCTTCTTGTAGAGATTTGTAATCCTTTCCATGCTGAAGAAGCAACTGTATAAGGATTAATAATTCTTCAATATATGACGTGTTCAATGATCCATCGCCTGTCAAAAGTGAAAGCAAATAACATTGGTTTCCACTACATCAAAAATCCCCTACATCGTTTATTTTCAACATGCGTATTACGTGAAATGCAACTCATTCCTTATCAGTAGATAAACATCAAAGAATAGCAAAGTTTCAGCTAAAGTTAAATTATCTCATTTGTTTTGTTGAAACAATCGAGTGGAGGCAATTTAAATCTTTGAAAACCAGCAAGAAAAAAATTATGGTTAACATTTATATAAAGTGAGCTCTCTGCTATATGATACAATAACAAAGACTAATAAATTTGACTTAATTGAAGACAATTTCGACAGAGCAAACATGAAACGTTTCATAAGACGGACCACGACATAGTGGCCATTTACGAGAGGTGGCCGCTTACCGGTGACCCAGAAGGGACATCACTCATTATTAGAAAATGAGACACTCTCACTAAAACTGTGCACAACAACCACTGATATGTATATTACACTGGAAACGCATCCATGTATAAAGTTTAGTAAGATAATTGAAGCCGGAAGCTGGCTCATCTGATTATGACCTTCGTGGGGGGTATCGGCCCCACTTTACTTTACTTTTGTTTTGCAAAATCACAGTTTTTGCGTTGTTATTCGTTCTACAAACTTTTGATTCGAGCAAAATTTTTGTGAAAGGGACAGAACAATCGGCAAACATATATAATCCTAAAAAGTTTGTCTTCTTGGCTTTATAATGGCAGAAAATTGGGATGGTACAAGGAACGACCTGCATTGTTTTGAAACAAACTGGAGATTATATGATGCTGCTGCTTCTTAAAAAATGTAGAAATATTACAGAATCCTACTACTGCTACAAAAATTTATCTGCAATGACGTTTATGGAAGATTGCTACAAATTTACTTATTTAACAACACTTTGTTATTCACATTGCTAATATCATAATAATTTCAAATTACGTCTTTATTATATCAGTGAAGAAACATCGAAAAATAATCAGAAAGACATTTTGATGAACAATAGTAAGTTGAAAACGGTATCATCAAACTCTACGGAGCTGTACATCATCAAAATATGCGAATTAAAGTACCTCTGTTGTCATTAAGCAAAGCAAAGTTTTCAACCAGTTCCTATGTGAACAACTTTAATATCGATGAATATGTTGAAAATATGAATACCTTTGGTCTTACTTTGTTGTAAATTTGTAATTTAAGTATTCATCTTCTAAAAATGCCTCGCACGGCTGAAATTGTCCTCGTCACCTTCAACTTTCAATACAACTTGCAATCTTTTTTTTCAGTCGTTACAAAGCCAAAAAAACAGAGCTTCGGGGTTAAAACTCTCTACCGGTTTCCTCTGCATGTCATAAAAATTTTACCGTAATCAGAAGTTTGTAAAAGGAATAAAAACGCGAAAACTGTGATTTTGTAACACAAAAGTATAGTAAAGTTGGACCGATACCCCCCCATGAAGCCAGTAGCAAATGATCGATCTTCCGGCTTCAATTTTCGCAAGAGATGCGTTATCCAGTCTAATATACATATCAGTGACAACAACGTTCACAATTGCCTTAAAACTATGCGTGCACATGCTAACAGCTGACCTATGAATAGCTGAGCCTGCGTCACATGACAAAATGGTGGAAAATGAAGACAGTACGATGGGAGGCTTAATACAAAACACTGCGAGTGAACGACAGGTTATCGAGTATGATTTCTACAAGGAATTTCAGTACAAGGATATTGTTCTGTTCTTACGACAGTATCACAGCGTACACTTGTCTGAAAGAACTTTAAAAAGGAAATTAAAACCATAAAAAATTGTCACACCCAAACTTTCGTAAAACAATCAATGTGACGAGATCCTTAATCTTTCATGATTGTTGAAAGTATGTAATGTATCAAATGCAGAGTTACCAACCTGGGCCATTACGAAAAATAGGTGATCCAAGGTATTTCCACATGGATGTGCAGGGCAAAACTTGGGTCAAAACTGTCCTACACTTTGGGCTATTCAAATCCTCGTTCAATCTGCATATGTACTTGACAACGTCCTTTTGAAATCTTGGCGAATATTGACATACACGTACATTGATCGCCATTGGTCTGGACTTGTCTCGATCACTAAGTATAAACTCCAAAATATCTCCTCCAGCAACTGGTAGAATTTCTTTTGAAAGATAGTTTGGATACAAAAAGACATCTTTTCTTTTTTCATAGCCATCTGGAAGCTCAGAAAATGGTTTGACAAACCATGCTGTTTCTTTTCTAATGGGACACAGTCTACCTCTTAGCCATTGCGTCGTTTCTTGAGCTTTGAGTTTTATCGTCTTAAATTTTTTCTTATTCAGGTTTTTTTCAAAGGTATATTTTCTCTTCATGGCTTGAAGTCTGGAAATCTATCTTTTGATTAACTTCCTGAGGAAAAGAAGATTAAATTGATTGTTAATGAATCTTATGATTACGTGTTGTTTAAGGACAAAGCCTCTGTAAAGGTTTTCTTATTTTCTCAGCTATAAATGCAGTCACGGAATCAAGTGTACAAAATAATTGATTGGGACTCCTTAAATTACTCTGTAAAATTGTCTCTAATGCATAATTTTACTACATTGAAAGACCCTGAGTAATTACATCGATTGTATTAAGTGATTTATTTGTTTGTAGAAATCGGTAACAAGAAGACTTTTCGGTAATAAATAAGTCGAGGTGGTATTTGGGCTAAGCATTTGAACTTTTGTGCACTACGAGCGAATATATTTTAGCGATGTCAAAGTAGCTGTAATAATGTAGACTAATATATCACAATAAGCAACAATATTCATTGCAACATGTACGTATATGCATTTGTATGAATTATACTTTATTTAGAAACGTCTTCTCACCTCTCTACTTTACTGAACGTATGATAAATGTACCTGATGGACTTTGCTGAGCTTAGGCGGTTCTTTAGTTCGTAAATATCTCATTAAACCGTAACAGCAATGCCAGAACTGGTGAGAAATGTATTAATTTGTATTTCATTTTCGACGAACTAGCGTAGTCTTTGCATGGAAAATTGATGTCGTTGATGATTATCTTATGATTAAAATGGTTTAACACTCAACCGGATGTGCCCCCTCCTTCCCACAAGCTTGCAGAAATGTATAGACATTTATCATCGCGATATTTGATCAGGAAGTTTCACGCAAATTTGACCAGAAATTACAGGGAATACTCGGCTCCAGCATCAGCAAAAGACGCCATGGAAATTAAGCCGAAAACGACACTAACACTATTGACATATTCCCATTACTAAATTACGAGCATGTGAAATAAATACAAGCAATTAAATGTTTGCAAAAGGTACATTAACACACAATGGCCGACACTGAGGCTATATTACGTGTTCATGTTGTATGTGGGAAATTTATCCAACGTTATCTATGAAGCGTTGTATAGATTAGTCCACAAAGCTAAGGAGTGAGATTTTTTGTTTCCAATGCATAAACAATTCAGACGCAACTTTTGAGCAGTTGTGACAATCTACTCAATTTATAAATTTTGTTAAAATCGTGGAATATCCACTCAATTTATAAAGTAGCTACAACGCGCATTTGCGATATGTAAACTACATTGATAAACAATTTTTAAGCTAAAGCTATTTCTATATTATTTGAAAACAACAAATATTTACCTTAAAAATCCACGTAGATTGTGTTTGAGAACTTCAGGTTAGTTTTTATTGTTTGGTTTTGTTTCTGTGTTTGAAATTTTAGTTTAAGACGTCTGACGTGAATGAAGGCAGACAAATCGTATCAAATTTCAATAGCTTTCTTTCTACGACTTCTCCGATGGGAACACGTGTTGTGTTTTCGTATGTCACGTGGTACAAATGTAAACCTTGCGTATATTGTCGTTGCTCTTTTATATTATCTTACGGCGTCGACTGTTTTGACTTGAAAATCGATTTGTTTATTTTGCAGGATTATAACACAAATATCTTTTTAATTTTGTCATAAATAATCGTGGCTCCCTAAGTGAAGTTAAAACAGTGCAAGCCCGAGATCGAAGGTCGGAGGCTTGCACCTGCTCGAGAGTATGCTCTAAAATGTATTCATGATTGATTTGCAAATTCACTTTGATTGATTGTTTGAGCTCAGACTAATGCGAACACTGCTATAGACCAATCTTTGCACGCGTTTTATTATGTTTATTTTATGAAAAAGCATCAATCAGTTTTTATACAAACAAGGATTATTTCTTCCAGGGGCAGATTAATCTCTTGTTTGGCACAAGCCTGTCCAAACACAGTAAACATCTTTTATTTCTTAAAAAATAGTAGATACATAAATCAAAAATAACTTGGAGAGTTGTATTGTGAAAGACCCGGACTAATGTAAAAAAGACATGTCAGGATTGACTTCGGTTACAAGTCAGAAAAGCTGCTGTTCTTTGAAACTTTGCTTGAATCCCTCGTTTTTTCATAAAGACCAAGAGTCAATAAGAACATTGAGGTTGAATTTTCTAGAAAAATAGCACAAAAAAGAACAAGTTAAGGCGCACAAAAATGTACAGCGTAATTTTGATAACTGAAATTATATAACTAACTTTTATACAGTAAAGTTCGTAACAGCCACGGTAATCATACTGTACTATATGAAATTATTTAAGAACCATAAGAATTTGAGCAATTTCATTGGTCGAGAACTATGATCTATAAGTGCAAATACGCACGGAATTGACGTCACAGAAATTTGTTGCTTTGAAATTAGAAACGAACGGCGAAATTATTTGAGTATTTACCCGAATTTATCCTTGAATGAGAAAATATTTGCTAGTTCATATAAGAAAAGAGTGTATAGTTCAGCCGATGACCTAGAGATTTTTTCAAAAATCGTACATGTTGAATACCTTGTTTTTGATGAGCTTGATTTCCGCAACTACCGTATGCATTGAATACATCATAAATATCATTTGCCTCGATTTCTCTGTGGACCGTACAGACGTATAAAGTTCACATTTGTATTCAGTTGTAAGGCGGTAACATTTTCAAACAATCTGTATCTCTGTGACATTCTAGCTGCACGAAGTATCGTACTTAATTAAGGCAGTGAGTGTCAAAAATTTGCGGGCACTTTCTTTTTTACCGCCATTTTCTTGAAATAAACTCGTGCGATGAATGAATAAAATGCCAAATGTTTTAGTCAAGCAAGAAAAATATGCCAAAACATCGAAATTCGTGTCAAGGATCATCGAATCTACAATGTTATTGACAAAAGAATTATCTTTTATCTCAAGAAGGTTAGTAAAACACTCTCTGCCTCCACTATTATCATTTTCACATTTTTTTTATTGAAAAATGAATTTAGAAGCATGCTATATAGCTTTAAAAAGATGTATCGTACTGCAACAAGTAAGATTTGAGATGGTTTTGCGTACGGACAGTTGCGTACGAAAATATCTGACATGAAAATTGTCATTTCGTTTTTGATCGTTCACAGTACTTGTAGTAGATACGAAACAACGTATTTCAAACTTGGCAGAACATAGTTTAAATAATTATGTAGTCAGTTATTGTTTATGTATGTATGTCTTTAAGAAAGAAAGAAGGTGAGAAATCTTATCTGTCTGGATTTTAGTAGTAGAAATAATTAAACGGTCTTGCCCTTTAAATTAGTGTATTATAGCGATGAAAATATAGCTCAAATCAGCCGCAAAACAATTAAGTGTTAATACTATTCTGTAAAATATATTAACAGCAAGATTGAGAACTCTATATATTTTATAATTTATAGTACATTTACCGTGTATGAGATGATGAGATAAATAACGCGTAGATAAAACTCTCCGCTGTACATATAATATGCTTTCACAGCTTCACTGTATTTGCATCAGTGAAAGAAACATCTATAAAATTCTCAAAAAAACATATAGATATACCTTATGGAGTTTCTATATGTTTAAACAACACGTGTATTTTCTGTGTTTAAAAAAGTCGTGTACGCAAGAACTGGCGAGAGGTGGAATAATTAATAATTTGCTTCTCATTTTCCAGGAACTAGGGTTCGCATTCTTTGCATAACGGGGGGAGGCGGTTGAAACCTGATATCGTTATAGGTTTTTTCCATTTGATATTTAATTGAAGCGTTAACTTTAGTCTGAGCTAAACATGTAATATTTGAGCCTATGGGAGAGGTGTTTAAGTTATATTTCCATTTGATACTTGATTGAAGCATGAATTTTAGTCTGAGCTAAATATGTAATATTTGAGCCTAGGGAAGAGGTGTTTAAGTTACATTTCCATGTGATATTTAATTGAAGCATTAACTTTAGTCTGAGCTAAATATGTAATATTTGAGCCTAGGGGAGAGGTGTTTAAGTTATATTTCCATTTGATATTAGATTCAAGCATTAACTTTAGTCTGAGCTAAACATCTGAAACTTGAGCCTAGGGAAGGTGTGTTTATGTTATACATGTGACGAATTAAATATCCTGAATAAATGAATCAACCATCTAGTTTGGTAGCTATAACAGATATATGCCCATTATGGTTTAATTATATCGACTTTTTTATTGCTTGCATGCTCTCTTTCTTACACTGCTTTGTTGGCCGTATTCAAACGAATAAATTTTTAGTTTGTAATAGTAACAATATGTCTTAGGTGGAAGGTGAAAATTTATCATAAATATTTGAGTATTTTAACCTACAAATTTCTTGAGAGGGTAATTTTTGTACATAAGAATGCTGTTTTGATGTCCATCGACGCGTATTTGGAATGCTATTTTCGCTGATTTTTTGTGTGTGACTAACATTCTCAACTCAAACGGCAGTTGTTAATTATTTGCAATCGTGTAACATTAATAATGTGGTGCAAAACGTTTCTAACACAGTAAACCTTATTCTTTTTTTGTTACAGTTAAATCTTATTCGCATAACAAAACTGATTATAAATTGCAATAAAAGAAAAGGAGTCAGGAGAGGCTGTCCGTTTTTAGTTTAACTCTCTACCTACTAAATTCTGTTGTGTTACTTAGCAATTTTCATAAAACCGTTTCATTCTAGCTTTAAAAAATGTCCAAAGTATCTGCTGCAGCAACTTACCAAATATGCTTCTTCTAATTATTTAACAATAAATTAATATAGTTAATTTTAAGCTTCGCCCATTTCAGATACTACAAGCAAAATACATGGCACTATTTGCATTTGTTTCTTTACTTACTCATTGACTTACACAATGATAAGCTCTTTTCGCGATGATAGGCCAAAGCACCTTTGGAACATCGCATACGACTGGGCTCTAAAATGAATGATTACCTTAGTGTTGGCAAAACATGTTGTTGTGAATAATCTTGTAAGCCAAGGTAACTGTAAATAACATATGCCATACGATTCACATTGCAAGTTCGTGTCTGCCAAAGGCTTTGGTTCGTAAATCTTTTGTTTCTCGCTTGAGCCCAATGACTCACTCGTGAAAGGATGAGCACGACTTTCCTGCAGGAAGCCATATCCACTTGTAGACTTCGTTAGACTACTGCACAACAAGGAAGAAAGTTTATGTGCCTCTCTAGCCTTTAACTCCAAGGAGAAATAGCAAGACATCGATTTTTGGTATCTCTCTGTAGTTGGAAAACACAGACATGTTGTATCGCCAATGAAAACCTTTTTCAGTATATATCACTATACGAAAGCTAAACTTAGGAATTGCTTTGTTAAGTTCTCAATCTTCCGCATACTTATCTCGATAGTAAAAGAAAATTCTTTCTGATTTGCTGAACTATTAGATACCTACGTATACAATTAAGGTGGTTTGTGATAAGTACCACGGGCTCTCTTTTTCACCGCCATTTTTTACAAAAAAATATTTGTTTACTCACCTGTCAAGTTGATAGTCCAGCACAAAAAATAGGCCAAAACCACATCTAAATTCGTGTGAAATGTCATCCAGACTACCGTATTATCAATAAAATATTTATTTCTTCGAAAAGGTTAGTAAAATGTGACCAACTAATTTCTTTTCTAATCAAATTCGCTTTCAAATGAAATCAGTCAGGCAAAGCTGCATACATGGATATTCAACCTCCCCCCCCGAAATATCTTTTAAGCTTTGCCCCTTGTAGTGTAGAACGTTCGTTGTATTAGTGTGGATATTCATTTATTACATTGCACATCCTTTATCATAAATGTATAATGATTTTAGCAGTGTTTTTAACGCTAATTATGTGTTGAATGACTTGGACTTGGTATTAGTTCGTTGACTTAATATCACTTAAGTTCTTGTTGCAGTAGTTTTTACTTTATTCTTGTCGTTAAATGATAATATTTATTTTTTCACGTAGTTAAGATTCATCTTGATCAATCGGATTGAATTTAAAATGTCTCGAAGTAAGAAATGTATTTCAGAATGAACTGTTGTCAATTTGTAATGTTTGACTTATAGGCTGATGGCTGTGTTAAATATACGTATACTAATCAACCAGGTCATTTACTGTGTATAAAGACAATTTCAATGTAATGTCTTGGGGAACGTATTGTATTGGGTTTGAACAAGAGTACCAGTCAAGTATGACGAGCAAGAGAAGCTTTTGAAAGGTAAAAATCATGCTATTGATCAATTAAAATTTTTATTCAACAAGTTTGTCTGGTATTCTTAATTTTCACTACAGGGTTAATAAAAAAAGAAAACCTTTGCAAATTGACGTATTTTGATGATTTCAATGCACATCATTTTGTTCAGCCCACGGGTACAAGTTTTGTCATCATCTGCGTGCATGTATTTGATATATTTGTTACAAGCACCCAAGCTTTTCTGCTACTCGGAATTTGTTTGTATATACATTGAGTCATTTTCTACACTTAGGAAGTTAGCATTAGTAATATATCATAATCATAGATTACCGAATGGTTGGTGAGTGCGTACGATTTTTATGCACGAGTTTCTCAACTTTTTATCATACGACTATTGAAATTTAGATTATAGTTAATTTTTCGCCGAAGAGATTTTCACACAATTTTCGCACAATTTCAAACGCTTCAAAACATTCACCTAAGTGCATAAAAAAATACAATAACACAAATAAATTGTTCATCGGCAATAACTAGTTTTTCCGCTGTTTCTGTCTTAACATTATGAAAGGCAATTCCTTTCTTACGAAGGAACTACGTAGGTTCGTTGTTTACGTTTTTTTTCTTCTTTCAAAAGGAAGCGTAATAAACTTGCTTCGATATTCAAGTTGCTTGACGGGAATATTGTCCACGCTTCGAAAGTCATATTTTGATGATGAAAATTACCGAAGAAATCCAATGACCTGCTTTTTGTATCGTTTTCCTTGTATTCATATTAAATTCGCTTACGGATAGTGTCTAGGCAAATTGCAAAGCCAATGATAAATGAAATCAAAAAAGATTGTTTCTGTCTTCTTTAATTTTAATGCTGTTCACCGTTCGTGGTAAAACATGACATGCATTTTGTCACTAGTGAAGAAAATGATCTATCCAATCAGGTGCTCGGAAATTTTAGGCATATGATTTTTATTTCACCGTTTTGTTCCGCATAGATTTCAACACTCGTACGATAACTATACATATTTGGCGAAATTTAGCCGAAACAACTGTTTAACAACTACATTTGGCGAAATTTAGCCGAAAAGTCACATTGTCTGCATCATCAAAAGACAGGCACAAACAAACATTAATGAATTTAATATAAAAATACGACATTCCTTCGTCCGTTATATGTGGGATGTTCGCGACAATATTTTTTAATTATTATTTCAAAAGTAAGAAATCTTGTTTTTGTTTCAACGATCAAGGTTCAACATGCTTTCTTTCCTAGATCAATAGATTTTTCTGTCTTCAGTAAATTTTCCATATGAATTTAGTTAAAGTGTCCCTTGATTAGTCTTTCTTTGTTGAATGTTCATTCCAATAAAGTGCTTTATGTTTGTATGGTGAAATGTCTTGTCATTTTAACGATGGATGACAAAGAAAGGTAAAATTTGATCAGAGTTTTCGATAATAATAATATCCCCACTGTTATTTGAGGAAACAGAAGCAACAACACTTGCACCACGTCCACGAAAACCTTGCCTGACAACTTTCTTTGAATTATAACTAGAAGGTATGCCATGTTGTGATGAATCTTCATATTCCTTTCCAGGAAGAATTCGACATAGCAATAACCCATCGCCATAACCAATACTGACTTCAGGAAACTCAGAGAAATAATTTCCACGACCATAGGCTTGCCTTCGTGCAAAATTCAACTGCAAATTATTTTTGAGAATACTGTCGATATTTTTCTTATCTGTTCCATGATATGCGAGAATTTCTTTATCTGGAATACCTTCATTACGAAATTTCTTCTTTGTTTCTTCAAACTTTTCTTCAAGATCCTTATTGACGACAATATCAATGGCAGTGATGTTTACATTCTGTAAACTGCTGTTGGCAGACATTCGTCGAAAGTGGGATTCGGCAAAATGGTAATACATCTCAAAAGGATCTTGAAAATTCACCTCTCTACTTGGATGCATCTTTTTAATCCGGAACGACTCTGTGGTAAGGATTGAAGGTGATGGAGGGAGGACATCTTTGCTAATAGAATAGTGAACGATGTATTGTGGAAGAGCTTGATCTGGATCAAAAATAACAAATTCGTCATTCATCACAGCTGTTCCACGTGGGGCGTACACGGAGTCACAGTTTTGGGATCTCAGTTTTTTCTTGTTTAAAGTATAATCCGCTTCCTTCACTGTCAATGACTTTCCAAGAATGACCTGACACAGGAGCAACGTCTGAGAACCTTTTGTGTAGATATCTTGAGCACTTTTCGAAGAATCTGTTGCAAAGTAGATTCCTTGACCAAACATTCCAGGTTTATTTGGTAGTCTGGGCTTAGCTGGAGGCATTTTGAAGCCTTTTCTAACAATATTTCGCAAAGCTTCGTTTGAGGTACCATGAAATTTTGTGTCAATATAGTCACCAAATGCCTTCGATTTAGCTGTTTCGAATTTTTGCTCAAGTTCAAGATTTGTGACTTTTTCGATTTTTGTGATTCTTGGAAACCATTTGTGACAAGGTTGAATAAATTTCATGACTTGATCTTTCACTTTCTGATACTCTGCAGCCGTAGAATCACTGGCACGTAACTGATCTCTTGAAAACTTAGGAATTTTTGCGAATTTCATCTTCTCTTCAAGTTCATTAACTCGCTTCCTCGCTGCAGCGCGGAATTTTCCCATCTTTTTTCGATATAATTTTTGACAATGCTTACATTCTCCTTTTTCGCAATCCTCCCCGCAAGCATTTTCACAAGGATGACCACATTTACGTAACCTGCCACAAGGTTTAACAGGACATATTACTTCCTTGTCATTTTGACAGCATTCCTTCTGGATTTCGTGGCCATATTTGCATTTAAAGGGTACCTTGTAGCGACATTTCCAAGTTATTGGTTCTGAACATTTTTTCTTCTTTGGAGAAGGATGACCACAGTCTGGAAAGACGTAATTAATTTTTACATCACATGTATCGTGTCCATGAGGTTCTCCACATGTCTTCTGACATTGATGGATTCCACATGAGTTCATTTTTTTACAAGGATATGGACATTTAATATCTTCATGGCACTCTTTCTCGATCGTGTGGCCGCATGTGGGAAAGGTTGCCGTTACAATTACTTTACATTTCAATTTATGTTCATCTTGCCAGCATTTTTTCTTAATCTTGTGACCACAATCAAGCTTCACTGTTACCTTTGTTTGACAGTTTAATTGGTCGATGTTCATGTGACATTTTCGCTTTACATAGTGGCCACAATCTGGAAATGTGTCTCTAACGGACACTTGGCACTTAAAGTGGTTGTGTCTGGGAAAACAAGACAACCTACATGGATGCTGATCACAATGAGAATAGTAATCACCGCATCGTTCTTTACACAGTAGCGTTGGCTCTTCAATCAAATCGCAGATGCTATCACCATTCTTTGCCAAATACTTTGACGTACTGTGTTTGAAACACTGCAGTAGTATCTTATCACCCACACATCCTTGCTCTTCTAACGATGTGATGAAAGAAGACCAGCAAGAGTTCTTAGCACCACGTAGTGTACCTGCATTTCCTACAAAGTACATGCCACATTTTGCTCTCGATTGAGCTACGCAACGGCGATTCATCTTTTTCAAGAACCCAATCTTGTTTTCATCATTTGAACGAACCAACGAGATTATAACGTATTTGTTTTCGTCACCCTGGTACATATCGATTGTTTGCACTTGAACAAAAGAATTCCAATCATCTTCGTTATCTTGATGCTTTTTTATTTTCTCATTTTTAGCTTTGATTAAATGTCGTAGTAGTTTTGTTTGGCCTGAGTATGCTGCTAGCACCGTGATATCTTTTGGCTGTATACCGTTACATAACAAATATTGAACGAGTTGTATGATTCGTTCGGCTTCTTTGGGATTGCTGTAAGTTCTGTCTTTAATCTCAGGATCATTGTGAGACCAAAAAAACATGGATTTCTCAATACATTTTAACGGCTCATTCTGTGACACCAAAGGAAGATTATCTTGAAGATGTGGATAAATATCTTTGAGCAATGCTGAAAACTCGGGACGCATTCGGTTTTGCTTTTTGAGGGATTTGTATGGGAAACCAGATTCTATCAATCTTTCCATCATGGAAATATCAAATTGAAACGTCTTGCACAACTCATATGTGTCGACTTGTGGCCTAAGTTGCTTATGATCCCCGATAAGTATGAGATGTTGAATGGATGGAGTGAGCGCAGCCAGCAAGCTAGGTTCGAGTATTTCAGCGGCTTCTTCAACAACGATCACACTTGGGCCAATTTCGTGAAGTAAGACGTGATTGATGGACGCTCCGGTGATGGTAACACCAATAATCTTTTTGCTTGACAAGTACTCAACTTTACCTGTCATTTCCAACTCTTCTTTTTGACCTCTCAGTGTCTGTAATTGATCAACTAAATCGTTTAATTCTTGGGACAAGCTTCTTGTTTTGTCGTTCATTATAGCATAAAGAAACTGTAATTTTTCAAACTCGTTGAAACTCCACATATTTTGTACTGAGCGTATTTGTGAACTCGCCACCATATCAGGAGGGTAGTCGGACAAATCAAGCAGTCGTTCGTTTCCACTCCCTTTGCTTTCTAAATCGAATAGAATTAGGTCTTCTTTACGACTAATCTGTTTTGCTGCTGCCTCTATTCTAGTTTCTGTGAGCTGTTTTACGTAATCTTCGTCACCGCTGTCATCTCCATCTGTCAAATCTTCAAATTGTTCCGTTTCTTTCCTGCTTGTATTTTCTGCTTTAATCTGTAATATAAATTCAGATTGAAACTGTTTCATTTGTAACTCCTTTCTTTTTGGAATCCAATAATCCAACACTGTTTGGAAAGCATAGATACAATTATAACCAACGATCTCATTTTGTGATAAACCGGGAGATAGTGCCTTTTGAAGGCATTCTGAAACTGAACCATATTGTATCACGGCTTTTTGTAATTGTAACTCCATCCACCTTTTATCAATGAACATTTTCTCGGAGTTATTGTAAACCAATCTACCTTGTCCCCATGGAGCGTCAGCAATAAACGATTTCAGTTGCTCTTCCTTCATCTCATCAACGAGACTACTTTGAGTAATATACGAGTTTCTTTCCAATTCTTTTGAAATTTCCTTAATTTTTTCCTCAATGTTGTTGATTTCGTCGGAAGTCATTTTTATCATAGCGTTCGTGGCTGAATCGTAAGTACTTTCGTTCCGAAAATTTTTTAAGTTACAAGATTCTAATTTAGGCTCTTTTGATCGACTTCCAATCCTGACGATATCATTTATGTCGCAAAACTCCAACATGTGTTTGAGAAACTCGTCAAGAGCGTGGCTCTTGTACGTCAACAATAAAATTGGTTTTTCCAATTTTGGAGAAAGTGATAGCAACAACTGAACTATTTTCACACCAATGAACGTTTTACCACAACCTGGTGGACCTAATGAATAAAATTGTTGTTGCTGCGATTAGGAATATTTTTAACTACCGAAAATCCTGGAAATATTTTATGCGAAAATAGAATCCTATACTGGTTGAACTGAAATTAAAAAATTGTAAAATTGCTCTCTTTTCATATTTAGCGATGTCATGAGTGCTCGCAAGCAAGGAATTTGATATTTTTTGATCTTGTGCTGAAAGTTGTACGTGTATAATCACTGAAGACAATCAACCAAGTTAACCAACGCTATAAAATTATCAAAATTTTGATGTAGACGCATACAAATATATTTTATTTAATAAATCTTCAGTAAGGAACCGCATGCGTATTGCTGGGATGATTAGCCAACGTTTATATTTTAATTAAGATCGGTTATTTATCGTAAAAAAGAATGAATATTTTCAAAAAACGCGCCGCTTGGTGTAAATACTAGATATCTTTCGATTAATACATGTATGTAACATAGATTACTTCATGGTTGGAGTGCGTATGATTTTTATGCACGAGTTGAAAAGGATGGCAAACAAATAAGTGAGCCAAGCGAGAGTTGATTTTCAGTCCTTCTCAACAAGTGTTGCAAAGTTTTTTCTAAAGTTCAATTGTTTGTCGCAAATTTTTGTATTATTTCATGAAACTTTAAGTCTGATCGAAAGTGGTGATCATTATAAGAAAAATTAAGTTTACAACAAACATCTGAACCTTCGAGGTACGTTTGCACCATTGGGCGAGAAGTAATGTGAAAATGAGCGTATTTGGGTTACTCTATTCATCTTTTGTGTATTACTGCGTTGCTGCAGTCACTTCACCCTCACCTTGGATGATGCCAATTCTGTTCTTCAATACATGCATGAGCGCTATTCTTTGACTTTCTTCCAAAGATGTATTTTTACTTCCCTTGAAAACTTTTAAGAATTGCTTAACTTTCATGTGCCCTCCAAGAGCTTCCCCTGAACTATGTTTAATTTCATCAATGCCTTTATCAATATTCTTTGAAGATCCACTGGAATAAGTGTCTTCTATGTCATTCTCCTCGCCGAAATACTCTGAACGTATATTTGAATTATCGTCATCACTACTGTCATCACTATTCTCGGACAATTCATTTGAATGAATGACATCAGTGTCATCAATGAGACTCTTGCGGGAAAGCGCAAATTTAGAAAACGTTTCCTTGCTTATGTACTCCGGAAGTGTCTCCGAGCCATCGTCATCATCATCATCACTATTCTCTGACGATTCATTGGAATAAATTCCTTCTGAGTCATCGTCCCTATTGGAAGTCTCCTGGAAAACTACCGACGTATCTAATGTCGCCTCTCTTAAATACTCTGGAAGTTTTTTTGATGCTTTTGTGTACACGATCTCTTTTTGCAAAGAAAAGTTCTCCATGTCGAATTCTTTTAGACTTTTTAAGATTGGACTCAAGGAATGATAATATGTAGGAGATTCCACCATCACAGCAAAACCTATAATTTTTAAAGGTTGCGTTCTTTTAAAGAAACTCCCTACAGTTCACTCGAGATTCGGGTGTTTCAGGTAACCTTCACTTACAACATTATTTTGATCAAACACACTCAAACTTTGGAAATATGAACTATGCGGAAATATTGAAGAATGCAAATAAAGTGTAAAAATGCTTGAATAGGATAACTGCTTGTGTTGTTATGGCAACCATATCTCATTTTCTTTTACATTTTTATCGTCTAGTTTTTAAGGAATTGACCGTATCTTTTTTTCGGTTCGGCGAATTTTTCTGATTTTTTGTTATTCATTCAAGAAGCGTATTCTTTAATAATGGAGGAGTTCTATGAATAATTTTTTTAATACTTGAAAATTTTGGCTGCATGAAAACTTTACATAGATTTTGTTCTATTTTGCGTATGTTATAATTTTTCTTTTAATAAACATCCACACGAACTTTTAACAAAATTTACCGAAGGAATAACGAAAAAATCTTCATTAAAGTCAGCGCGGCCAGGCACTTATGTAAAAAAAATCTACTCGACATGAGCACAATATGCGCATTCGAATTGTCACCAGTCCCCTGCTTAGTAATTATAGGGAGCCTCCTTAATGACCATATGATGTCATGATTGTCATGAGAATTCATTTGAGAAAAATTTCTTTTGTTTTCTGCTTATGCAATGACTTTATCTACTCGACGAATGAGCGGAAAGAAGTATTTAATGCTTACAATATGCATCGAAAAGGAAAATTTTTTAAATACCTGCATGTGTTTGAAGCGAGATTACGATTTCACTTATACTCTTGCGATTCTCGTCTAACAAGTCTAGCACGATTATCTGATTTTCATTTAGCAGATCTGTATCCCTTGTGGAAACAGTTGTCCATATGACGTCATCAAACTTCCTGTTTAGTGAGATGCACACCAGGTTGCCATACATAAGTTGGGGGGAAGCTTCCCATTCTTTCACTTTTTTGGTTGGTGTAAAGTGAATTGCCAGAGAGAACCGACCATTCTGAAGTGCAAAACCAGCTAGATGAAGATTATAGTAAACATTCATATCTCGAAAATCAAGAGTGGACGATTTCAGATCTTTGATACCATGTTGTATTGCAGAGAAGGCCTCTGCACGAGTCAACCGAAAATACGTATCCATATATTGCTCAGGATTGTCGTAAGGAGTGTTCAGCCTCACTGGTGTCAGGTTTTTGTCTTTCTCTATCAAATTGCCGTGAAGTTCTTCTTCATTTGGTATCAAAGGTAAATCCAACCAGTTACATCCGTTCACGACAAAGCCATTATCTCCTCGACAATTCAACGACAAAAGAGTGCATAAAAACTTTTGTGTTGAGCTACTTTGTATTTTAGTGCTCAAGGCATTTATTGTTGGTAGAAGGAAGCGAGTCATAGTTGGGACTTTGCAGATTGCTTCTTGGCAAGTATTGCGCAAGAGTTGTGCAGAAAGAAATTTGTCTTCTTTTTCCATGTAGAATTTGTCGGTTTGGGTATAGTTGCAAGATAGGATGATTTTAGGAATGCTCAACAAATGCTCATCTTTGGTGTCTTGAAAAACTGTACCACGTGTTATGTTTTTTATTGCCTCTTCTTGTAGAGATGGGTAAGCTTTTCCATGCTGAAGAAGCAGCTGTATAAGTTCTATTAATGCTTCAATATACGACATGTTTACCGATTCATCATCTGTTAAAAGTGGAAAGCAAAATTAGCAATGTGTTCCACTACATCAAAAAACAAATTGTGTATTTTCGACAAGCCCTTGATGGACAAATGCGTGTTATACGAGAGGAAAATTTTAGTTAGCATTCATGTATAGAAGATTTGCAGGTGGTACCATCATTAATACTAATAAATATTAATGAATAGGAGATAAAGCCAATTCAGCAAATATGGCAAGAGACGATAGGCACATAAAACCATGAAAAGTGATCACACTCCAATGACTCCATCACACTCCAAATATTCTTACATGAAATAATCACTGTGAAACAATCCTTCATGCTTCATGACTTTTGAAAGTGTGTAATATATCTAAGTCAGGGATACCAACCTTGATTGTTTCGAAAAACTGGTGACCCAAGATATTTCCACATGGATGTGCCGGGCAAAACTTGGGTTAAAACTGTCCTGCGCATGGCACTATTCAAGTCCATGTTCAATCCCCGTACGTACTTGACCACGTCCTTTTGAAATCTTGGCGAATATTGACACACGCGTACTTTAATAGCCATTGGTCTGGACTTGTCTCTATCTCCAAGTATAAATTCCAAAATGTCTCCTTCAGCAACCGGTAGAACTTCTTTCGAAATGTAGTTTGGGTACAAAAAGACATCTTTTGTTTTTTCATAGCCATCTGGAAGCTCAGAAAAGGGTTTGACAAACCACGATGTTTCTTTTCTTATAGGACACAATCTACCCTTCAACCATTGCGTCGTTTCTCGAGCTTCCAATTGTATCGTCTTACATTTTTTCTCATTCATGTTTGTGGTTGTTAAGTCTGGGTATCTAGGTTTTGATTAATTTCCTGAGTAAAAGAAGATTGAATTAATTCTAAACGAAACTTTTTGATCAATTGTTAAGACAGAGTCTCGGTAAACGTTTGGATGCGTGTTGGAGAGACATGTTAGTGCAACATGTTAAAAACCGAAAGTGAGAGACCGTTTGTAATTATATCGATATTATATGATTTACATATGTATAAAGATAAACTTGGATCGACATAAAGAAATTTTTTTCTCATTCCTCTATTTTTGCGGAAAATTGAACCGGTAATAAACACAGTTAATAAGAAATGTCGGACTTTTAGCAACGTATTTTCATTTCACGAATATCTTTTAGCGATTTCAAAAGAGCTGTTGTGATTAAACCATTTGCTCATCATGGTGTAATAAATAATACATCTCTGTCCGACGAAAGCAACGATATTCATCACAACATATAAGTACTTGCATTTGTATGATTTTTATACTTTATGTAGAAAGGTCTTATAGAACTCTCCATTTTACGAAACATACCATACAATACCTGATGGAGTTAGCTGTATGTTTAAGCAAGTCTTTGTGTGTAAATTTCTCATAAACCGTTAAACTGTAACAACAATGCCTCAACTGCATGGTGAGGAATCAAACAATCAATTTGTATTTCATTTCGGGGAACTAGGGTTCAAATTCTTGGTATTGAAAGGCGATATCTTTGAAATTAACCTATGATTTCATATGGCTAGCATTACACCGGATGCTCCCCCCACGGTTGTAAAACAGTAAGCATTATCGCAAGATTTAATATCGGTCGGGTTCCGAGCAAATTTCACCAAAAGTTACCGTTAATATTTCGATCATCTGTAAAAAACGCTATTGAAATTAAGTCGAAAATGTCTTACAATATTCCCATTACTGAATTATATGTATGTGAAACACAAGCTATTCAATGTTTGCTAAAGGAAATTCATACTGTTTAGAGAAAAGTCTACAGAACTCTCAATGCCAGAACTGATGAGGAATGAAATAATTATTTGCACTTTATTTTCCAAGAACTAGGGCTTAAATTCTTTGTATTGACAGGTGCTGTCCTCGAGGAACATGTTTTTATTTCATATACGGTTTTACTGTCAACTAGGTGTATTGCCAACACAAAGTAAAAAAACCCCGGGAAAATTAAATCGAAAAAGACAATACAATATTCCCATGATTGAATTGTGTCATGTACGTGAGATGTAAGCAATTCGATATCTTCTAAGAAAGACGTGGAACAATTTCGCATAGATGCAATTTGACGACGGCAACGAAAGCAAATAACGACTCTCGACGTTAAAATGATAGTTCTTCTGTACTTTCACCAGCCTTATTTTTTAAAAGTTTATTTTTGCGACCCTTGGATGCATCATAAATATCATTTACCTTGTTTTCTTTGCCCATCTTAGCAGACATTTGCATTCGTATCTTTCGGCGATTAGATTTTAACACAAAAACTAATTGTGACCTTGAATTACTACATCAAATAGCTTTGAATATGCTACAAATGAAGCTACCGCCCACATTCCAGAAATTACGGCTCCCATACGCCTTTGAGTGATGGAGTAGTGACCAAATTTTGCTCATTCGGCTTTTTCTCATTCGCCGCCATTTAAAAAAAATAAACAGTGAGGCGAACATTGGGATAAACAATAAAATTCGTATTTATATAGTCACGCTCGAAAAATCTTGCAAAACAACATCCGAATCCATGTTTTGCGATTGAGTTATTGACAAAATAGTGTTGTACAAAATTCTTTGCTGTTTTAGATGTATTATGTTTATTGCGTATTGTACTTCATTTCTTTCATTCCTATGAAAACCCTGATCATATTAGTTAATACCGACCAAAAATAAAGTGAATGAGCTGTTGTAATGTTTGGACTTATAGGCTGACAACTGTGCTCAAATATCATAATCCAGACAACAACAAAAACCAGGTCATTTGTTTTAAGCATGGAGAAATGCAATTAACTATCTCAGGAACGTGAAAGTATCTGGTTCGAGCGGGAGTATCAGTACCTTGGACAAACAAGGAAAGCTTTAAAAAGGTAAAAAATAGGTACGTGCTTTGTACATGTTGTTAGCTTGTGAAATATATCGCTGCAAAATGAAATAGATCAATGAACATAGTTCCGGTATTGTTGCATATGTAATATTATTTACATCAAACGTTTTCGATATTCCAAAGAATTGCGTTGTGCTCAGTATTCGATCAAATAACGCAGAAACTAAAGCTTGCGTTATTATACAAGAAACCTCTTGCTACGTCACTGCGCTCACAAAAAGGAAAGCGAAGTCCTTGAGATTTCTCATAGATGAATGTATGTTATTTACCGGTTGGGAGTTCCATGCTGACAAAATATTATCACCATGTCCCATAAGCGGCCTGCGGTCAAGGAACGCTTCTAAGGCCGAGAGGAAATTTTCTTCAGTACGAACTGCCCTGAACAATAAATAGCGTTTTCATTTATTTATTTTTAATTCATGTTGTAAAACGGTCGATGTGGCTTTTTGAGGCTGAAATTAAATTGTTTTCTACAAACTTCACTACGTCTGGATAGTCAATTCACTCTCGCTATAACTTGCTTGGCTTGTAAACAGATTAATTGGAAAAAATAGCACTTTTGAATCACAGTCAAGAAATCGTGAAACGCCGTCCGCTGCTGCAGCCAGTCAGAATGCAGGATATAAAAAAATCACTTCGCATGCATAAATAAAAAAATAACGGTTAATTACTTATCACGAATAACCATATTTTTGCTATAAATAATGGGTTTAAAAATTGGAACCTTCGAAATCACCCGACGTCTAGAATTTTCATGATTCATGAGTAATTGATCCCCGACGAGTCGCAAACACAATTGAAAATGATAAAATATACGAATTGCGGATACTATGCAATTCAAATATATTGCATGAAATTGTATTCAGTTGAGTATTTTCAAATGCAATTATCGCTAACAGCAAAGCATGCCGTATTATTAGTTTTAACATGTACTAAGTGAGGATTATATGGATACAGTTAATAGTCTATTTTGTCCTTGTTATTCGGGAACGATGACAATTCTATATTTGTTTTATTCTAATCAAGGAAGCGTCGAGTAAATGTATTTACGACTGTTTGTTCTTTGGTCAGTGGATTTTTATATCTTCTTTAGCAAACGTCCCTGTGAACTACTTTCGTTATCTTTACATGTATGTAAACTCCATTACATACGGAAAATAATAAAATAATATCATTATTTTAACGATGAATGACAAAAAAAGGTAAAATTTGATCAGAATTTTCAATGATGATAATATCCCCACTGTTATTTGAGGAAACAGAAGCAACAACACTTGCACCACGTCCATTAAAACCTTGCCTGACAACTTTCTTTGAATTATAACTTGAAGGTATGCCATGTCGCGAGGAATCTTCATATTCCTTTCCAGGAATAATTCGACATAGCAATAACCCATCGCCATAATTAATACTGACTTCGGGAAACTCAGAGAAATAATTTCCACGACCATAGGCTTGCCTTCGTGCAAAACTCAACTGCAAATTATTTTTGAGAATACTGTCGATGTTTTTCTTATCTGTTCCATGATAGGCGAGAATTTCTTTATCTGGAATACCTTCATCACGAAATTTCTTCTTTGTTGCTTTAAACTTGTCTTCAAGATCCTTATTGACGACAATATCAATGGCAGTGATGTTTACATTCTGTAAACTGCTTTTGGCAGCCATTCGTCGAAAGTGAGATTTGGCAAAATGGCAATACATCTCAAATGGATCTTGAAAATTCACTTGTCTACTTGGATACATCTTTTTTATGGTGAACGATTGGGTAGTATGGATTGAAGGAGATGGAGGAAGGACATCTTTGTTGTCGGAAAATCGAACGATGTATTGTGGAAGAGCTTGATCTGGATCAAAAATAACAAATTCGTCATTCATCACAGCTGTTCCACGTGGGGCGTACACGGAGTCACAGTCTTGGGATCTTAGTTTCTCCTTGTCCATTGTATAATCCGCTTCTTTCACTGTCAATGACTTTCCAATAATGACCTGACAAAGAAGCAGCCTCCGAGAGCCTTTAGTATAAATGTCTTGAGCGCTTTTTGATGAATCTGTGGCGAAGTATATTCCTTGACCAAACATGGAAGGTTTTTTTAGTAGTTTTGGTTCTGATTTGGGCATTTTGAAACCTTCTTGAATAATTTTTTTTAAAGCTTTATAGGACGTACCATGAAATTTTGTGTCAATATAGTCACCAAATGCCTCGGATTTAACTATTTCGAATTCTTCTCTAGTTCGAGATTTGTGACTTTCTTGATTTTTTCTATTTTTGGAAACCATTTGTGACAAGGTTGAATAAATTTAAGCACTTATGATGGAGCTAATGCATGTTTAATCAAGTGGTTTATCTTCAAATATCAAGTTAAACCGTAACGATATTGTCGGTCAGAACAGAACTCGCGATTAATGAAATAACCTATTTACATTTCATTTTAGAGTAATTAAGATTCTTTCTACGACGGGGGGTGAAAAATATCGTTCATGTGTTACTTTCGTTTTTTGCATTTCGAATTATTACCAAAAATTTCTAATTTTTCCCTTGGTATACAATGTATATAACGACATATACATCATACTGTTGGTACATTATATTCATTAATCATAAGAGTTCTTCATGTAGAGCACAACAATAGAGATTTCATTTGAAAGTATCCTATAAACAACCAGAGGAAAACACGTTTTGGACCGAGTCTTGACGAATATGCGAGATATGTATAAACCAACACAACATCTACCACCATTGGGACGTTCTGATCACCAATGACTTCTATTAGTGCCAAAAGCAAAAAACACCAGCAATTCCCGGAAGGGTAAGACTCTTAACACCTGGAAATTCAAATGTCTTATGCAGAAAACTTATTCTTGAAGATTGGTCGGAGGTCTTTAATGTAGAAGATGTAGATGAAAAAGTAAACGGCTTTACCTCGACGATGCTTAGTATCATGAAAAAACAGTACGCGTGCACCCTTCAGATAAACCTTGGATGACAAGCTTTATAAAATCAAAAATCAAAGCCAGACAACGTGCTTTCTCTTGTAATAATCAAGCACGTTATAAAAAAGTATGTTCTGAAGTCTTAAAACTTATAAACAACGTCAAAATTTCATATTACAAACGAAAAGCAAAAGACTTTCGTACGACTAACCCAAAAAAATGGTATAAATCAATCTTCTCAATGTTGGGAATTAATAACGGGCATAATGTAAAAAGAAATGTCTATGATAAAAATAAACTGGAACTAGCTGAAAAATTACAACAAGCCTTTACAAAACCTTGAAAAAACCAATCACCCAACTACGAAATTGAAGATAACTTAATCAACCAAACGCCCAAAGATATCAAACCTCCTTTACCATCTATTGGACAGGTCAAGAGCTATCTACAGCACCTAAATCCTAGAAAAGCAACAGGAGATGACAAACTTCCGACATGGATACTTAAACGTTTTTGCGAAGATATTGCACCAGTCGTACACAATTTAGTAACCACAAGTATAAAACAATGCAAGTACCCCAGCCAATATAAACATGCACTAATAACTCCAGTTGCTAAAGTGAATAACCCAAGCAATGTTGAAAATGACTTCAGACCTATATCTGTAGACAAACTTCAACTCCAATTGAATAAATCAGATTTCAAAATAAAGAATAACCAACATGCCTTTACTCATGGCTGATCTACTGCATCTGCTCTAATATCTATAACACAAAATTTGTATAATGCAACAGATAATTCTCAATTAGGAAGGAAGGGAGTTCACGTATTATTTATAGATTTTTGAAAGGCATTTGACATGTTGAATCACAACATATTACATCAAAAATTGGCATCTATGGAAATTATTAAATCTTTCTGGCAATGGATTTGAAGTTTTTTGACAGGAAGAAGGCAACAACTCAACCTACAAGGAGCAATGTCATCCATCCAACCTTGCCCTTTGGGCGTGCCACAAGGCGCTGTTGTATCAGCAGTGCACTTTAATGTATTTATAAATGATTTAGAGGACAATATTCCTAAAGAAATAGATGCTAATACATGTAAATATACAGATGATTGCACTCAGGACCAGATTGTCGAAAGACGTGAATGCAGTTTTAATGCAAAAAGTAATCGACAAATTACGGAAATGGGCTGATAATAACAGAATGTCTCTGAGCTTGAAAAAAACAAAGGATATGTGGATATGCTTAACGGACTCAACACAAGAATCACCCCCATATTTTACAGCAGGAAATTGAACGTGTACAAACAAGTCTAAGAATTTTACAACTAGATAAAAACTACTTGCCATCTTTGAAAAGCAGGCGTGACCTAGCAACTACCCAAGAGATCAAAAGAATTATAGTGGAACCAGATCATCTATGCAAATTTTTAGTACCTTATCCCAAAGAAGATTCGCACGAGTTGTGTAAAAGCAAAACTTATAGTATTTTATCCCGGACCAAACGCCATAAACAATCTTTTACTGCTAGATTTGTAAATATATATATAATAAACATGTAATTCTTAGTATAGTATGGTAAATATATAGAAAATTAGTGTAAATTCATAGTACTTTTTAATCTGAAGATGAATACTAAAAAAAACCTTTCACAAAAAAAACCTTTCAAGGCTAGGTTGGGATTCTATAAACTAAATTTTTTTTCATTGAATATTAAGTTTGTATTACATGAGAAAGTATATTAATTTGAGTTGAGTTATTTTGAAATCTTGGATCTTAAAATAAAATTAACTGTTAACCAGTGGCGTGCGGTGACCGAATTTAATAGGCAAGCGCTGGGGGTGAGGTTCGCGGCTTGCCGGCAGTCAAAACAACAATACAATATACTTTGTGATTGACTGCGTTACAACACATTTAAAGCGTATTTTACGGGTTTTTTTGCTGTAATGGATGACATACACGAAAATCAACCGGGTGAGGTTCTGCCCTATCAATATGAACCTGAAGTGAAGGCCGAAACTAGTGAAGAAAGCGGTTCCGAACAGGAGAGTGAGCAGAGCGACTTGTCCTCGTCGGAGGATGAAATACATGCCGAATTTGAGAAAGCAAATGCTTAGCGCCTTCAAACTGGTTTAAGTGTGGACATTGTACTTTGTCAAAAAAGGCAATCGAGTGTTTTTGTTGCCACGAAAAAGCGCTTGAATACGATGAGTATGAGGCTTTGCTAGGCCAAACAGAAACTCAAGGAGTAAATTGCTTGACAACACACCAAGAATTTAGGGACAATATGCTCTCAGAAAGTGTGTTAAAGATAGACGTGTGTCGGTACTTGTACATTGTGCACGCAAACACGCACGTAAAACATTACGGATAAACGAAACTCTACGGTCAAGAACAAAACATAGCGGCTTAGAGCTTATCACCTATATAAAACTATATAATCTTTCAAAGACTCTTATGTATACAAATAATAAATTAAACGTATAACTCATTTGTTGGTCACAGGTTTGTAATATGGGAAAATGAAATATTTCTATTGCACGAAATGTGCTGTGTATAAAACGCGCTTGTTGTCGTCTGGGCTTACACTTGGTATGTCGGCAAAGCCTAGTTGTAAGATCTTCTAAAATAAACGTTTCTACGTCTTATAACGACTAAATATTGGAAAAGTATATAAGCGTGATAAACTACACAACTTTCGTTAATCTTAACAACCGCCGACTGTTGTTTTTGTTTTAAAATTCCAGTGAACAAATGTGCTATATATTATTATAATACTATTATTTTATATTGTGTCATTCAGTTGATACCAGCCAATGACGTCAGTAATGTATTCCGGCATAATTTAGCATAAGGTTTTTTTTTCAAAATGGCGGATAAGTACGGTGGCTCACAAGGGCCACGACACAAAATAAAAATACACACACAAAATACATTATACACACACAAAATAAAAATACACACACAAAATAAAAATACACACGCAAAATACATTATACACACAAAATAAAATACACACACAAAATAAAATACACACACAAAATAAAATACACACACAAAATAAAATACACACAAAAATAAAAATACATACACAAAATATGATTGTTGCAGTGTCGGATTGTCGGACTATCATATTATCAGTTTGTAATTGTTGTAAATTGTCATGTTGTGTAGTGTGTGAATATACCGTATGATAAATTGTAAAATGTTTGTCATATATTACTAGACAATAGGAAAATACGTATAGTTATTAAAGTGTGGTTTCAGTGGAAATCCTGTACGTAATGCCACATTGCAGAAAAGTGCTCCTAAGTATTTTGAATTTACGTACAGGATTTCCACTGAAACCACAGTTTAATAACTATATACGTATTTTCCTATTTGTCTAGTAATATATGACAAACATTTTACAATTTATCATACGGTATATTCACACACTACACAACATAACATGACAATTTACAACAGTTACAAACTGATAATATGATAGTCCGACAATCCGACACTGCAAGCGCCCGCAATCATATTTTGTGTGTGTATTTTTATTTTGTGTGTGTATTTTTATTTTGTGTGTGTATAATGTATTTTGCGTGTTTATTTTTATTTTGTGTGTGCAATTTTATTTTGTGTGTGTATTTTTATTTTGTGTGTGTATTTTTATTTTGTGTGTGTATTAATATTTTTATTTTGTGTGGTGGCCCTTGTGAGCCACCGTAGGATTCAACTTTATGTCAAATTTTCTCAACAGTAAAATTCAAAAGAGCCACGAAAACATGAAATTAAGTATTCCATAGCTATCTATGATAAACGTATGCAAAAAAAATTTTCGTTGCCAATGTCCTTTAAACTTACGCACTTAACTTTATAATTACGTAAAACTACTCAAATTTCAAGTACATTATCCGCTGTGTAATAACTGCACCTTCTTTAACCAAATATATAAAAAGCCTGTAAATAAATTCTAACACATAGAACACTTACGACTGTTGTAAATAACTTCTTCGCTAGTGAATAAAATAATCACAAAATTTAATAGCGTTCTAGTACATTGAACTCACGTTCGGAGCTCATACGAAAGACATATATAACGCTAAAATCTACTGGACACAAATATCAAAACTACTACGCAAAAGGAAGCTCTTGTCAATATAATAATCTTGTATTACATGCTACAGATAATATCTTCTATATACATAAATTGCAAGACAATAGGCGCGAAATGTATTGTAGCAGTCGTGATTATAACAATTAAGAACCGCCAGTTTCGCGCACAAAATTGGCACGGTGTGTTACAAACTGAGGCCATGGCGTTGTTTAATGTTTATATTTTGGTATAATGACGTCATGGCAACGTGTTCTCCCGTTCTTCAAAATGTGTCTGGCACTGACTCGTACGTTTCAGAATATCGGAGAGTCGTGTTTATTATTTAGTATCTTGTACCTTTTATTTTTAGTCATTAATTTACGAATTCAACGACACAAGACTGACAAGAGCATAGTGTTTTGGCATAATGCTAGTCATACTTTACCACAACACACGTTTGCGTGCATTTCGATATCTCTGCAGACTGCGGCCCCTGCTTGTTTACGCACATTGTGCGCAGAAAATAATAAAATAACCAGTAAAGCACCTACTACTTTGAATTAGAAATCAGAACATTACCTTTCGCTCTCAGTCATCTTTTAATAAACAATAACATTAACGGCGTGAATAATTCGGATGTCCAATGTGTTGAATATACGAATATTATTCGCGCGCTGATATGTGTTTAAAATTGCGAGCGTACAAGACTGTTGACCAATCGCTATCAAGCGGCGCCCTTAGAAGCGCCGCTTGCCTTTTCTCGATATTCCTCGAATAAGAAGCCTCCAAATCTAGATTAACGCATGCGCAAATGTTCAAATTGAGCTCCGAAGGCAAGCGCGCTTGCCTTGGTTAATAAATAAGAAATTTTTAAGGTGTATTTAATCCACTTGACTCATCTTACAAGTGTAGCAAAGTGAAACCGAAAACCACGACAGTAAATCGCGTATAAATAGCAAGCATTTCAACTGTAAAGACAATTTAGACAAAAGATTACATTGACATTGTTTAGAACAGAAAAATTTAAACTGATTTTGCTCAGAGATTGATCCAAAAAATTTTTGTTCGGTAAATGCTTAGGCAAGCGGCGCTTGCCTACGCTTGCATGACCGCACGCCACTGCTGTTAACAGCACGTTCTATTTAATTTTTGTTTACAGTAATTGTCTACTTGCAACGCTGAAATAGTTCTGTGATCTTTCATGATGAGAGGCACAAAAGTGGTTAGTAGTTTCTTAGATTTTGTAAACTTATGACCATACGTTTTTTGAGCTTTTTCTCTACAACTTTAAATGCATGTATCGTTTGTATAATTTGCAATGTTTATTTATTTATTTTGTTAACTATACTGGCGAAAAGGGTAAGAGTTGGGATGTTTTTTGTGCTAACTCGTTGGGAATATTAGTCCATATTTAAACTACGCTGCAGCTCAAATATTATGAAAATTTGTTTAATAATTGTTTATTTTGAATTACATATTCCTCAGTTATGAAAATCACCAATTATTGTTTCCTATCCATAACTTGTTAAAACATAATTTGTTATTTTAAAAATCGTATAATATTTAATCAGTGATTAAATATTATTAAAGTCTTCCAAATGAAAAGTGCTTTACACATATCGCGTATTTGTTTTACCGCATATTTCGTTCTTTTTTGCGCTATAATTGTGATATTAGCGATAAATTACGAAAAATGGCAACATATTATTCGAATCTTTAATAATTATCATCTCCCCACTGGCGTTTGCTTTTGCTGTCCCAGTTTGGTTACTTAACACTTTCTTGGAATTATATCCTACTGGTATATCAATGCCAGTAGCGTCGACAAATTCCTTTCCAGGAAGAACACGACACAAAAGAAGACCCTTTCCATAACCTAAGCTGATCCTGGGATATTCCGAGAAATAATTCTCTTTTCCATACGCCTGTAGCTTTGCAAAGGACAACTGCCAATTTGCCCTTTATGATGCTAGGGATATTGAGAAAGTGAGATTCAGCAAAATGTAATACATCTCAAATGGATCTTGAAAATTCACCTCTCTACTTGGATACATCTTTTTTATGCTGAACGACTCTGTGGTATGGATTGAAGGTGATGGAGGGAGGACATCTTTGCTAATAGAATAGTGAACGATGTATTGTGGAAGAGCTTGATCTGGATCAAAAATAACAAATTCGTCATTCATCACAGCTGTTCCACGTGGGGCGTACACGGAGTCACAGTTTTGGGATCTCAGTTTTTTCTTGTTTAATGTATAATCCGCTTCTTTCACTGTCAATGACTTTCCAAGAATGACCTGACACAGGAGCAACGTCTGTGAACCTTTTGTGTAGATATCTTGAGCACTTTTCGAAGAATCTGTTGCAAAGTAGATTCCTTGACCAAACATTCCAGGTTTATTTGGTAGTCTGGGCTTAGCTGGAGGCATTTTGAAGCCTTTTCTAACAATATTTCGCAAAGCTTCGTTTGAGGTACCATGAAATTTTGTGTCAATATAGTCACCAAATGCCTTGGATTTAGCTGTTTCGAAATTTTTCTCTAGTTCAAGATTTGTGACTTTTTCGATTTTTGTGATTCTTGGAAACCATTTGTGATAAGGTTCAATAAATTTCATCTCTTGATCTTCCACTTTCTGGACAATTTATATCTTTAATACCATGTTGTATTGCAGAGAAGGCTTCTGCACGAGTCAACCGAAAATACGTATCCATATATTGCTCAGGATTGTCGTAAGGAGTGTTCAGCCTCACTGGTGTCAGGTTTTTGTCTATCTCTATCAAATTGACGTGAAGTTCTTCTTCATTTGGTATCAAAGGTAACTCTATCCAGTTACATCCGTTCACGACAAAGCCATTATCTTCTCGACAATTCAACGACAACAGAGTGCATAAAAACTTTTGTGTTGAGCTACTTTGTATTTTAGTGCTCAAGGCATTTATTGTTATATGAATGTTTTATGCAGTGCGGTGTTTGAAACTCAACGGGATGAGTCACCTGATTTTTTCAGGTTCCTGAGACGATTGCTTAAATTGTCCAGCAAAGTGCGAAGATCATATCTTCATTTAGCATTTATTGTTAGTAGAAGGAAGCGAGTCACTGTTGGGACTTTGCAGATTGCTTCTTGGCAAGTGTTGCGCAAGAGCTGTGCAGAAAGAAATTTCTCTTCTTTTTCCATGTAGAATTTGTCGGTTTTGGCATAGTTGCAAGATACAGTTGTTTTAGGAATGCTCAACAAATGCTCATCTTCGGTGTCTTGAAAAACTGTACCACGTGTTATGTTCTTTATTGCCTCTTATTGTAGAGATTTGTAAGCCTTTCCATACTGAAGAAGCAACTGTATAAGGTCTAATAATGCTTCAATATGCGACATGTTTACTGATCCATCGTCTGTTCAAAATGGAAAGCAAGATTAGCAATGGTTTCCATTACATCGAAAAAAAGGGATTGCTTATTTTCTACATGCTACCTATGAACAAATTCGTGTTACTCGAAGAAACTTGTAACAGGCATTTAAATATAGTAGACATGTAGTGCTACCATGATTAAAACTAATAAATTTCAATCGACACCCAAAACCATGAAAATTAATCACTCTCAAAACGTTCTTAAACGAAATAATGTCACAAAATCCTTCATCCTTCATGGCTATTGAAAGTATGTAATGTATCAAAGTTAGTGTTACAAAACTGGGTCATTTCGAAAAACAGTTGATCCAAGGTATTTCGACATAGATGTGCAGGGCAAAACCTGGGTCAAAACTGTCTTACACTTGGTGCTATTCAAGTCCATGCTCAATGTACTTGATCACGTACACATACTCTGTATGTACTTGATCACGTACACATACTCTGTATGTACTTGATCACGTACATATACTCTGTATGTACTTGATCACGTACACATACTCTGTATATACTTGATCACGTACACATACTCTGTATGTACTTGATCACGTACACATACTCTGTATGTACTTGATCACGTACACATACTATGTATGTACTTGATCACGTACACATACTCTGTAGGTACTTGATCACGTACACATACTCTGTATGTACTTGATCACGTCCTTTTGAAATCTTGGCGAATATTGACACACGCGTACTTTAATCGCCATTGGTCTGGACTTGTCTCGATCACCTAGTATAAATTCCAAAATGCATCAGCAACTGGTAGAACTTCTTTCGAAATGTAGTTTGGATACAAAAAGACATCTTTTGTTTTTTCGTAACCATCTGGAAGCTCAGAAAATGACTTGACGAACCACGATGTTTCTTTTCTTATGTTATATGTCATTCTCATGCAAAAATTTATATGTTATTTCTATTGTACTAGAGAGACATGTTTGTACAACAACTTGAAAATCGAAAGTGATAGACCCTTTGTAATTATATCCACATTATATGATTTACATATGCATAGATAACCATGGCTCGACATAATGATCTCTTTTGTCCCAGTTCTCTTTTTTTACGGAAAATTGAACGGTTAATAAACACAGTTAATAAGAAATGTCGAACTTCTAGCAAAGCATTTTTCTTGCACGAATATATTTTAGCGATGTCCAAACAGCTGTTATAATTAAATAATGTGTCGTGGTAACATGTTCTTGTATGATGTTTCGACGACGAGGGCATGCATTAAATAATTCATCTCTGTCCGACGAAAGCAACGATATTCATCGCAACATATAAGTACTTGTATTTGTATGATTTTTATACTTTATGTAGAAAGGTCTTATAGAACACTCCATTTTATGAAACATACCATACAATACCTGATGGAGTTATCTGTATGTTTGAGCAAGTTTTTAGTGTGTAAATATCTCATAAACCATTAAACTGTAACAATGCAATAATTGCATGGTGAGGAATCAAACAATTAATTTGCATTTCATTCCATTTTCGTGGAAATAGGGTTCAAATTCTTTGTATTGAAAGGGGATATCATTGAAAATTATGCTTTCGTTTCATATGGCTTGGCAGTCAATCGGATGCCTCTCCTCCCCGGCTCGTACGCCTATGATAGGCACGAACGCAATATTAAATATTTATACTGTATTTGGAAACGTCTACATAACACTCAACATTACCAAACACATAATACACATACCTAATCGAGCTAGCTGTATATTTATAATCAAATCTTGTGAGTAAATATCTCACTGGTGAGGAATGAAATAATTAATTTGTAGTTCATTTTCCAAGAACTGGGGTTCTTATTCTTTGTATTGAAAAGTGATGTCATTGAAAATTATTTTTGACTTCATACAGTGAACAGTCAACCGGAGGCTCTCCCCATCATACAGCACGTTTATCATGTATTATGTCGGTGTAATGTTTATTAGGTTAAGAGAATACCCCATAAATGCATGAAAGCAATACCTATTAATGTAGTTTTTCGTAGTATTAACGTGAATATCAATGCAAAAGTTTAAAACATCCATTTTACTTTTTGAGATATCCATATCTTGCTGTATCAAATACATTTAAGTTGCTGTAACAATACGTAGTTTTTTGAATGGTTATAACTGTATTTTACACTGAAATCTTATCATTCGCTCTAATCATTTCTTTGGCTTATTGTACATTATTGTATATTTGAATCCAACCATAAACCACAATGACCCAGTTTAAATTGGAACAATGTATCCAAGAATGAGCTGTTGTTCTGTTTGACTAGATCCATTAATGACTGCGCTCAATCCATCTGAGTCCTGAGATGGCAAATACCATTAAATGTCATGGGAGCGTCGAAATATTGAGTTCGAGTGAAGAATCAGTCAATTTTACATACAAGGGAATCTTACGAAAGTAAGTTTTATCAATTGATAAATTAAAAGTGTTGCCTTTAGAATTGCATTGTGATTTGTGAAGGCAATGGATGATTTCTTAGTAGCCAAACTCACCCCCCCCCCGATCTTTTGCCTAATATTTGCATTGCATCATGTGTCGTTGGGAGGATTTCATGTTTGTAAATATACTTTGTTCAGAAAACCTTATTTTTAATTACTGAAAAGGCCAATATTAAGAAAACATTTCTCAAGATTTCTAGTCTGTTGAACAGACAACTGTCTCTTTAAGGTACGTTTACACACAACGATTTGTCGGGCCGACCTGACGCCATATTACGTGTTCTTTCCATATTTGGAAAGTCGCCCGACTCGAAAAATCGGATGAAAATCATTGAGTTCAATAATAACTCAATGATGAAAATCTGTAACAAACTACAGATTTTATAGAGCTCAATGATGAAAATCTGTAACAAACTACAGATTTGTTCCCGATTTTTACTATGTTGCTATGGCTTCAAAAACAAGCAAATTATGATTATCGAAAAATCATCGAAACGTCTTCCTTCAACACGGAGAAAGAAAGTACTGAAAGCGTCGTTGTTTTTATTGAAAAACCAAAAGCTGCGGAGATTCAGAAAAAGAAAAGTCAAGAATATTTTCTTAAAAAAAGAAATACGGCAAATTTAGCTTGATTTGCACTTTACTCGCATCAATCTTTACATTTGTTTTATTTTTTTTCCTTATTTTTTGAGTTAATAATAGTAATATAAATTGCCTTCGTAACTACAATGACAACTTTTAATTTCACTTTGCTATTGTTTTTCGACAAATTTTTTTTCTTTTTTGAAATCACGTAAATACATCGGATGCATTGTTTACACACAGCGATTTGTCTTTTACGACAAATGTTCCATATATGGCAAGAACACGTAATATGACGTAAGTGTCTGCCCAATTAATCGTTGTGTGTAAACGTACCTTAAGAAATTTTAAGCATTTAAAATTGTTTGCCAACCCTGTACGAAAAATGAGGTGACTGGCAACCATGAAATCATCCTTTGAGATGTGGCTTTACACAATTCTTGCGGTTATGCGGTACTCCTTATTTTTACGATTTTGTTGATGTAGACCGCAAATCAACATTACAAATGCTTTACACAAAGAAATAGAAAACAAAGTACAACTACACTTTAATATAAGATTATAGTTTTTCTTTTGAACGATGCATCTTGATAATTCGTCCATTTTGCTTGCATCCAAGTGTTAGTTTTTCAAATCTTCGGAGTTTCCAAGTCTGCTTCCATGTGCTAGGAGGTTGAAATTTGGCCGTTTTAGAAACGCTTTACCCAAATTTTTACAAATAGTGCGTTTGAATTTTAAACGACAGTGAAAAAATTTTGGATTGAAATTGGCTTATAGTAACGTATGATTCTAAAACTAGCCTCAAAAAAACAATTGAAACTAGTTTGATAAATGTAAAAAATGAAACAAACTTCTACATGCTTTCATCGGCTACTCGTAAAGTTACGCTGACGTAAAGCATGACGTATTGTCAGTTTAAGATGACGAAAAAGCTGATAAAATGTGCAATACCAGAGGATTTACATTCTTGTTCTCTTAGATCAATGGATTGTAAATTTTCGGTAATAAAAATGAATTTTTATAGTGTCTTGATTATTTTTTCTTTGCATAGTAGTTACTTGAAAAACTATGCATCATGTCTGCAAGGTAAAAATATTTTGTCATTTTAACGATGGATGACAAAGAAAGGTAAAATTTGATCAGAATTTTCAATGATGATCATTTCCCCACTGGTATTTGAGCTAGCAGAAGCACCGTAACGTGCGCCACGGGGACCAAAACCTTGCATGACAACTTTCTTTGAATTTAAATCAGACGGTATATTAGCAGAGCTCGTATCTACGAATTCCTTTCCAGGAATAATTCGACATAGCAATAACCCATCGCCATAACCAATACTGACTTCAGGAAACTCAGAGAAATAATTTCCACGACCATAGGCTTGCCTTCGTGCAAATTTCAACTGCAAATTATTTTTGAGAATACTGTCAATATTTTTCTTATCTGTTCCATGATATGCGAGAATTTCTTTATCTGGAATACCTTTATCACGAAATTTCTTCTTTGTTGCTTCAAACTTTTCTTCAAGATCCTTATTGACGACAATATCAATGGCAGTGATGTTTACATTCTGTAAACTGCTGTTGGCAGACATTCGTCGAAAGTGGGATTCGGCAAAATGGTAATACATCTCAAAAGGATCTTGAAAATTCACCTCTCTACTTGGATGCATCTTTTTAATGCTGAACGACTCTGTGGTATGGATTGAAGGTGATGGAGGGAGGACATCTTTGCTAATAGAATAGTGAACGATGTATTGTGGAAGAGCTTGATCTGGATCAAAAATAACAAATTCGTCATTCATCACAGCTGTTCCACGTGGGGCGTACACGGAGTCACAGTTTTGGGATCTCAGTTTTTTCTTGTTTAATGTATAATCCGCTTCTTTCACTGTCAATGACTTTCCAAGAATGACCTGACACAGGAGCAACGTCTGAGAACCTTTTGTGTAGATATCTTGGGCACTTTTCGAAGAATCTGTTGCAAAGTAGATTCCTTGACCAAACATTCCAGGTTTATTTGGTGGTTTGGGTTTAGCTGAAGGCATTTTGAAGCCTTTTCTAACAATATTTCGCAAAGCTTCTTTTGAGGTACCATGAAATTTTGTGTCAATATAGTCACCAAATGCCTTGGATTTAGCTGTTTCGAAATTTTTCTCAAGTTCAAGATTTGTGACTTTTTCGATTTTTGTGATTCTTGGAAACCATTTGTGACAAGGTTGAATAAATTTCATGACTTGATCTTTCACTTTCTGATACTCTGCAGCTGTAGAACCACTGGCACGTAACTCATCTCTTGAAAACTTAGGAATGTGTGCATTATTAATCTTCTCTTCAAGCTCATTAACACGCATTTTTGCTACAGCATGGAATTCCTCAATCTTTTTGCGATATACTCGTTGGCAATGCTTACATTCTCCCTTCTCGCAATCTTCTCCGCAAGCATTTTCACAAGGATGACCACATTTACGTAACCTGCCACATGGTTTGACTGGACAGATTACTTCTTGGTCATTTTGACAACATTCCTTCTGGATTTCGTGGCCATATTTGCATGTAAACGGTACCTTGTAGCGACATTTCCAAGTTATTGGTTCGGAACATTTTTTTTTCTTTGGTGATGGATGACCACAGTCTGGAAAGACGTAATCAATTTTTACATCACATGTATCGTGTCCATGATGTTCTCCGCACTTTTTCTGGCATCGATGGACTCCACACGAATTCATTTCTTTACAAGGATGTAGACATTTGATAAGGTTAATATCTACATGGCATTTTTTCTCGATCGTGTGACCACATGTGGGAAATGTAGCCGTTACCATTACTTTGCATTTCAATTCATTTTTATTTTGTGAGCATTTCTTCTCAATATTATGACCACAATCAAGCTGAACTGTTTCTATGGTTTGACAGTGTAACTGGGTGATGCTTGTTGCGCATTTTCGCGTTACATCATGGCCACAACCCGGAAATTTGTCATCAACCAACACTGGGCATTCATAATGGTTGTGTCTGGGAAAACAAGACAACCTACATGGATGCTGGTCACAATGAGGATAGTAATCACCGCATCTTTGTTGGCACAGTAACTTTGGCTTTGCAATCAATGCACGGATGCTATCGCCATCCTTTGCAAAATACTTGGAAGTACTGTGTTTTACACACTGTAGTGGTATTTCACTCCCTAAACATCCTTGGTCTTCTAAGGATGAAACAAGCGAAGACCAGCAAGAATCCTTCGCTCCACGTAGTGTATCTGCATTTCCCACAAAGTACATGCCACATTTTGCTCTCGATTGAGCAACGCAACGACGATTGATGTTTTTCAGGAACCCAATCTTGTTTTCGTCGTTAGAACGAACCAACGAGATTATAATGTATTCGTTTTCGTCGCCTTGGTACATGTCGATCGTTTGTACTTGCATAAAGTTATCACGATCTTGTTCGTTGTATTGATTGTTTTTTATATTTTCAGCTTTGATTAGTTGTCGAAGTAGTTTAGTTTGACCTAAGTATGCTGCAAGCACCGTTATGTGTTCCGGCTGTATGCCGTTACATAACAAATATTTAATAAGTTTTATGATTCGTTCAGCTTCTTTGGGGTTGCTATAAGTTCTATCTTTAATCTCAGGATCATTGTGAGACCAAAAAAACATGGATTTCTCAATACACTTTAGCGGCTCGTTCTGTAACACCAAAGGAAGATTATCTTGAAGATTAGGATAAATATCTTTGAGCAATGCTGAAAACTCGGGACGCATTCGGTTTTGCTTGGCAAGTGATTTGTATGGGAAACCAGATTCTATCAATCGTTCCATCATGGAAATATCAAATTGAAACGTTTTGCAAAGCTCATATGTGTCGACTTGTGGCCTAAGTTGCTTATGATCCCCGATAAGTATGAGATGTTGAATGGATGGAGTGAGCGCAGCCAGCAAACTAGGCTCGAGTATTTCAGCGGCTTCCTCAACGATAACGACACTTGGACCAATCTGGTAAAGTATATCGTGATAAATTGACGCCCCTGTGATAGTTACACCAATGATCTTCTTTTCTGACAAGTACAAAACTTCGTCGGTCATTTCCAACTCCTCTTTTCGACTTCTCAGTTTTTGCAACTGGTCTATTAAATCATTCAGTTGTTGGGACAAGCTATTTGTTTTCTCATTCATTATGGCATAAAGAAACTGCAGTTTCTGGAACTCGTTCAAAGTCCACATGTTTTGTACGGAGCGTATTTGGGAACTCACGACCATATTAGAGGGATAGTCTGAAACACTAAGCAATATATCGTTCCTATTCTTTGTGTTTGTTATATCAAAAAGAACTAAGTCTTTTCTACGATCAATTTGCTGGGCTCTTGCTCCCATTCTTATTTCTGTTAGTTGTTTTACATAATCTTCGTCACCGCTGTCATCTCCATCTGTCAGATCTTCAGATTTTTTCGTTTGTTTGCTGCTCGTATCTTCTGCCTCAATTTGTAATATAAATTCAGACTGAAACTTTTTCATACGTTGCAGCTCCATTCTATTTGGAAACCAAAAACTTATGACTGCTTGAAAAGCATAGATACAATTATAACCAACAACCTCCTTTTTTGACAAGCCAGAACGTAATGCCTTTTGAATGCATTCTTTGATGGAGCCATATTGCATCACGGCGTTTTGTATTTGTGATTCCATCCACCTTTTATCGACGATTTTTTTTGAGGAGATGTTATAAGCTATTCCACCTTGTCCCCATGGAGCGTTGGCGATTAAAGATTTTAGTTGCTCTTCTTCCATCTCTTCAACGAGACTGCTATACGTAAGGAAAGAGCTTCTCTCCAGTTCTTTGACAATTTGCTTTGTTTTCACTTCAATGTTTTTGATTTCAACAGATGTGTTCCTTATCTCAGCGTTCGTGGCTTTATCGTAAACAATTTCTTTCCGAAGACTTTTTAATTTACAAGATTCTAATCTAGGCTCTTTCGATCGACCTCCAATCCTGACCATATCATCTTTGACACAAAACTCTAACATGTGTTTGAGAAACTCGTCAAGAGCGTGGTTCTTGTACGTTAACAGTAAAATTGGTTTTTCCAATTTTGGAGACAGTGATAGCAGCAACTGAACTATTTTCACACCAATAAACGTTTTACCACAACCTGGTGGACCTAAATGCAAGAAAATCTGGTGAAGGTTGAATGTGTACAAATAATTTTATTTTTTTGTTTAATGCTTAAGTCTTGCAAACTTTCTTCGTGCAAAAAAGTATCTGTAAACATCAAATTCAACATTGGTGAATTGAAATCAGGAAATATAACAATGTTGATTTCTTGACAATTGTGTCGATGTCGTGTTTACTGTTCGGCATGAAAATGAAAAATCACGATTTGTAGCTGATTCGATATGCTGTACTCTTGATCAATCACATTGCCGTCGAGTTCACATTACTTTTCGTTGTAGTGTTGTGAACTTTGTTCAAACTTTCGGATGCTCGTTGCAAAATTCGCATGTCGTTTAGTGAAATTTTCAAGTCAGCATCTAAGTCCATTGTGATTGTAAGATTAATTAAACTCTGCAATCCTATATGCCTTAAATTTACATATAAAGTTGTTTGCGTGTGGTTTTCCTTGTATATATATTGTGTATTATTGCGTTGCTAAAGTAACCTTAATCTCACCTTGAATAATGCCAATTCTGTTCTTCAAAGCATGCACAAGCGCTCTTCTTTGACTTTTTTCTAAAGATGTTTTTCTATTGTTCTTGAAAACTTTTAAGAAATTCTTGACTTGCATGCGATGTCCAAGATTTTCCTCCGAACTAGCTTGTTGTTCATCTCTGTCATCGTCATCAATACTCTCTGAAGAGTCACTTGAATAGATTTCTTCCGAGTCATCGTCAGTGGGATTCTCATGGAAAACTATGGATGTATTGAATGTCGCCTCTCTTAAATACTCTGGGAGTTTTGCTGAGGCTTTCGTGTAGACAATTTCTTTTTGCAGAGGAAAGTTCTCCATGTCGAATTCTTTCAGACTTTTCAAGATTGGACTCAAGGAATGATAATATGTTGGAGATTCCACCATAATTGCAAAACCTATAATTTTTAAAATGTTGCGTTCTTTCAAAGTTTCATGACTATTTTGTTTTATTTTTTATGGAAATTCATTGGACAAAAAGTTCGTATCACTTTCTTCTTATAGCGGTCGTTACATGATTTGATACAAATACTAAAGGTAAACATGCATTGCCATCAGAATAAAAAGGCGAGATTTTTAAGTACCTGCTTGTGTTTGAAATGAGTTCAAGATTGCACTCATACTCTTTCGATTCTCATCTATTAGCTCTATCACGATGATCTGATTTTGATTTAGCAGATCTGTATCCCTATTGGTCACAGTTGCCCAGATGAGGTCATCAAACTTCCGGTTAACTGAGATGCACACTAGGTTGCCATACATAAGTTGGGGGGAAGCTTCCCATTTTTTCACCTTTTTAGTTGGTGTAAAATGAACTGCCAGAGAGAACCGACCATTTTGAAGTTCAAAACCAGCCAGATGAAGATTATAGTAAACATTCATATCTCGAAGATCAAGAGTGGACGATTTTAGATCTTTAATACCATGTTGCATTGCAGAGAAAGCTTCTGCACGAACTAAGCGAAAATACGTGTCCATATACTGCTCAGGATTGTCGTAAGGAGTGTTCAGTCTCACTGGTGTAAGATTTTTGTCTTTCTCTATCAAATTACCATGAAGTTCTTCTTCACTTGGTATTAAAGGTAATTCTAACCAAACACATCCGTACATAACAAAGCCGTTATCTCCTCTACAATTCAACGATAACAAAGTGCATAAAAAGTTTTGTGTTGAACTACTTTGTATTTTAGCACTTAGGGCATTCACTGTTGGTAGAAGGAAGTGAGTCAGAGTGGGGACTTTACGGATTGCTTCATGACAAATGTTACGCAATAATTCTGCAGAAAGAAATTTCTCTTCCTCTTCCATGTAAAACTTGTCGTTTTCAGTGTAATTGCAAGATAGGATGGTTTTAGGAATGCTCAACAAATGCTCATCTTCGGTGTCTTGAAAAACTGTTCCACGTGTAATGTTCTTCATTGCCTCTTCTTGTAAAGATTTGTAAGCCTTTCCATGCTGAAGAAGCAACTGCATAAGTTCTATTAATGCTTCAATATACGACATGTTTACTGATTCATCGCCTGTTAAAGATGATAATAAGCTATGCAGCGATACATTTAACTACCTCAGAAAACGTAGGTTTAACAAATGGGTACTGTTTAAGATGAAAATTGTTGTTCATAAATAAATGAATGTTAACTTATGGCAAATTCTAATTTTGAATTTAAATTTTCGCTTTCTACAAGCGGCTAGTTTAGTTGCATGCAAATATTTATACAGTTTATATTGGTGGTATGGCGCATGCGGTCTTCTGTTCACTTTTACCAGCTCATCTCGCGTCTCCTTAAACTATTACCCTAATTTGACGATTTGAGTGAAAGGAGGGAAATGCTGATCACGCAATTACAAAAGAAAATCATCGTAAAATCATGAAAATAACACGCAAAGGTTTTAGTTTTGGTATGCTTGAATTGTTTGACTCTAAAAGTTTTGCTTTCAAACTCGCTATAACTCAATGATTATTGGTCGTACGTATAGAACACTTTCTAACCTGGCCCATCTTTAAAGACAGGGGACCCAAGGTATTTCCACATGGATGTGCAAGGCAAAACTTGGGTCAAAATTGTTTTACACTTTGTGCTGTTCAAGTCCATGTTCAATCTCCGCACGTACTTGATCACGTCCTTTTGAAATCTTGGCGAATATTGACACACGCGTACTTTAATCGCCATTGGTCTGGACTTGTCTCTATCTCCAAGTATAAATTCCAAAATGTCTCCTTCAGCAACCGGTAGAACTTCTTTCGAAATGTAGTTTGGATACAAAAAGACATCTTTTGTTTTTTCATAGCCATCTGGAAGCTCAGAAAACGGTTTGACAAACCATGCTGTATCTTTTCTAATGGGACACAGTCTACCTCTTAACCATTGCGTCGTTTCTTGAGCTTTGAGTTGTATCGTCTTAAATTTTTTCTTATGCGTGTTCATAGCTGTGCCTGGGTAATTAACTTATAATGGAGTTCCTGGATGAAGAAAAGATTGAATTGATTTTTTATTGAAATGTTATGATGAATTGTTGTTGAAGCTAAAGCGTTGCTAAATGTTTTGATGCATTTCTATAGAAAAATAGCTTACGGGGTACATAGTGCAAAGGTATAGGCACAGAAAGAGGAAAGAAGGTATACAAATTATTTGACTGCAAACTCTGTACAACGGCAAGTATTCTCCTTTAAATTACGTTGTATCCATGGACAAACAAAACAACAAAATGACTAGTTGTTCACAGATCATAACTTTAAAAAGTAAATTGTAATGAAATACCCTTTATCGATTATATCGATTATATCGACAGATTGTGATACTGACAGATCAAAATGATCTCTTTTGTCGCATTTTTACAGCGATTGGAATAGTTGTTGGCGAAACTTTGATCATTTTCTGTTCTTGGCTAAAACCTCGTCAAATATCGGGCGTCAATGAATTTTCCTCGATAAATTTATAATCGAAAAAGAGTGCGTAATATTATTTTAGCGTTGTATTGTATTCCAATGTTATGTCCACAGTCTAAGTGTAGGAAAATAAACCGAAACGCTATTTCCTTTTTGAGAATTATATTAACCGATTAGCGAGGAAGTTATTTACACCATTTGTGAGTGTTCTCTTATGTACAATTTATTTGCAGGCTTTTATAGTTTTCTTTAACTAGGTGCAGTTATTACTCGGCGGATAAAGTACTCGAAATTTTAGTATATTTACATATAATTATAAAGTTAAGTGCGTTAATTTAATTAGCGCGTTTGAGTAAAAGTAAGATTGGCTATTTCCTCTAATGCTAGCACATGAATCTAGAATCTAGATAAACAATATACGCATGGAATATACGTCACTACATTATGTAGAATTTAGCTGTTTCAATCGTATTTCCTCGTCCATAAAAATAAACAAGCCGAATGTGTCCTTTGTGTTCAAAGTATGCAAAATATTTGATTGTAGTCTGCCTAGAATGGCAACTGAAGGAAAACCTACAACAAGATTCTATGTATATGTCTATAGATAACGACATGTTGAAAAGATATAACTCATTTTTTACCAAAGAACCGAAGAATCAAACGAGAACAAAGAAATATGTGGATGTTATTTGAGCATTTAACTTTTCTTCCATACGAAATAGCCGGTATATTATTGCGACATCAAAATAGCCCAAGGTGTAGAATTCCAATTTTACACAACTGAACCATAAAATAATAACTGTTATATATAACAGAAACTTCTATGAAATTCCTTACTTTACAGAACATACCTTATAGATGACTGCTTGGATATCTGACGGAGCAACTTATATTCAAGCAAGTCAAAGCGTGACAATGATGTCTGAGTTCGTGAGAAATCAAATAAGTAATTTACATTTCCTAAGAACTAGGATTTTTCTTGTACGGGGGGCTGGGAGTCGAAAGGGGACATCGTCGGTAAGGTTACTTTCATTTTCGTTTTTCGAATTATTACCAAGATTCTTTATTTTCGCCAAGTACATGCATTTTTCGATAATCGTAACAGTAATTGAAGCATTAAAGCAATAAACTTTTATCTTATATACGAAAGATTAAGGAATGGAGGTGACTGAGACTTGAAGTTGTATATGCTCAATTTAAAGCATTCTAGTGGAATATCATGTTTGTATTACATAAAAAAATACACTTGTTTGAAAAGAATTATATCGAAATCCTTGACCTGAAATATACTTCAAGTTTCACAGCACGTACTGTGTTTTTTTTTTAACCTTTGACACGCCACTTCGAAATAATTTTGTCACCTTTCATGACCAGAGGCATAAATGTGGCTCAGTAGTTCCTCATAAATTTATGATCTAACGCTTCACGAGCTATTTCTCTTCATCTATCGGATGCATGCATGCATTGAGACGATAATTTTCTTTGTTCTTTTTTAACTGTACTGGCGAATAGAGTTTTGTTTTGTGCGTTTTTCATTGAAATATGCTAAAGTTGACGCGCTTGATGTATAGGGCTGCAATTAGTAAAAGTTGAGATGGTTTTTTTTTGTGTACGGATACACTCTTGGTCAGTGCCGTAATTAGAACGGTAATTGGTGCATATTCATATATTCCGTTGTGCCCTACTGATTTCTTTTGAAAGTAATTTGAATTTCAAAAGAAATCAGTGGGGCACGACTGAATATATGAATATACACACCCCCCAATTAACGTTCTAGTTACGCCTCTGCTCTTGGTACCATTAATCCTTATTATAACAACGCTGTTACTAATGAAAATTAATTTAATAATTGTTCATTTTGTTTCCTATCCATAACTTGTTAAAACATAACTTATATTGTTATTTTAAATGGTGAAATGTAATCAGTAATTGTTTGTTATAAAAGTCTTTTAAATTAAAAGTGCTTCACATATATCGTGTGTACACAAACATCGTTGTTTTACAGCTTATTTTTGTTTTTTCTTTGGCATGCTAATAGTAATGTTAGCGATAAATTACGTAAAAGGGTAATATCTGATTCGAATCTTCAATAATTATCATCTCCCCACTGGCGTTTGCTTTTGCTGTCCCAGATTGGTTGTTTAACAACACTTTCTTGGAATTATATCCTACTGGTATATCAATGCCACTAGCGTCGACAAATTCCTTTCCAGGAAGTACACGACACAAAAGAAGACCCTTCCCATAACCTAAGCTGATCCTTGGATACTCCGAGAAATAATTTCCTTTACCATAGGCCTGTCGCTTTGCAAAGGACAACTGCAAATTTGACTTTATGATGCTGGGGATGTTGACAGGATCCGTTCCATGATAAGCAAGGATTTCTTTATCATTAATTCCTAATTTTCTAAATTTTTTTCGTGTTGCTTCAAACTTTTCTTCGAGGTCTTTGTTTATCACGATGTCAATGGAGGTGATTTGCTCGGTCAACGCTGGATTTGTCTGTTTGGACATTCTTAGAAAATGGGACTCAGCAGCGTTATAGTATGCGTTGAAAGGATCTTGAAAGTCGATGGTGCGTGTTGGTAACATTTTCTTCACAGTTACGGACGTCTGGCTTAAAATTGTTGAAGGATAGGGTATTTTTGTCGCGAAATGTATTATATAAAGTGGAAGGGCTTGGTCTGGATCGAAGATAACGTACTCGTCATTTTTCACTGCCGATCCTCTTGGGGCATACACTGAATCACATTTCTCTGCGTTCAATTTCTGTTTGTTCAACGTATTGTCTTCTTTATGAACCACCTTACTTTTTCCAAGAAGTACGTCGCAAAGTAGGAGTTTTTGTGAACCCTTAGTGTAAATCGTCTGTGCACTTTTTGAGGAATCTGTAGCGAAGTATATTCCTTGACCGTACATACCGCGTTTCTTTCCTTTTGCATTTTGGTTTGGCAACTTAAAACCATCTTTTGTTATTCCCTTAACGCCTTCTTCAGATGTACCATGAAATTTTTTGTCGATGTGATTACCAAAGGCTCTGGACTTTGCTGCCTCAAACCTCTTCTCTTGTTCTTGGTTGGTAACCTCTTCTATCTTGGTTATATTTGGAAACCAGTGATGCATCGGTTGAATATATTTCAATACTTTGTCTTTGACCATTTGGTATTTTCCCGAATCTGAACCGGTTGGTGAAATTTCCTTGATGGAAAATGGAACGGGATTTTGTTTCATTTGATGAGCAATTTCTATTTCTCGTTTCTTTGCATCTTCACGGAATTTCTTCATCCTTTTTTCGTGTTCCTCCAAGCATTGGGCACAGTCGCCTTTTTCACAGTCCTCTCCACAAAGATTAGTACACATGTGGTTGCATTTCCTCATCTTGGTGCACGGTGCAGTGCACATCACGTCTTCATTTTTCTGATGGCATTCCTTCTTTATCTCGTGACCACATGATCCTTTGAAAAACACCGTGTGCTTGCATTTCCACGTGATCTCTTCAGAGCATCTCTTCTTTTTACTCGATTGATGTTGACACCCAGGAAATTTGTAGTCGATCATTTCCTGACAATTGTTGTGATCATGAGGTATGCCACATTTCTTTTCGCATCGATGTATCCCGCAGGAGTTAGTCTTTTCACATTGATGCATACAAGGAGGAATTTCTGCTTGATGACACGGTTTCTTGATTTTATGACCACACGCTCCGGTGACTTCGACCAGTTTCCCACACTTGTCGGTGATTGGTTGAGAGCATTTCTTTTTCTTCGATGAAAGATGACCGCAGTCGGGATATCGGTAATACACCATCTCCGGACACGTTTCATGACTGTGTGGTTCGCCGCACATTTTCTTACATTTGTGAACGAAACAATTATTGAATTCAGTGCATGGAAATGGGCACGTTAAATTCTCAATATTTTCATGGCATTTCTTCTCGATTTGATGTCGACATTTTGGAAATGTAGCCATGACAAGCTCATCGCAAATGAGATCGCTGTTTCGCTGGTGGCATTCCTTCTTCCTTTGATGTCCACAGGTCTCCAGGGTAACAACGACTTCTACCCGGCACAGTAACTCAGAAATATCATCTTTACATTCCCGTTTCACTGGGTGACCACAATTTGGGAAATAATCGTGAACTATTTCGTGGCAAACGTCATGATCATGATGAGGTATGCAAGGCTTTTGGCAAATGTGCCTAAAGCACGGATTGAGTTCACCACATATTTCCGAGCAGAGAAGTTTGGGATTGTTTACGACACGTTTTATATCATCCCCTGTCACCGCATCAAAGCGAGATACGTTGTGCTTCGTGCATTGTAAAGGTATAGCATTTCCAGTGCATCCTTGGGCTTCCATTCCTCTTATAACATTCTTCCAAACCGATTTTCTAGCGTTCATGAAAAGTTCCTTGTTACCGACGAAGTACATGCCACGTTTAGCTCGAGATTGGGCAACGCAACGACGATTCATTTCCTTAAGAAAGCCGATGCCACCATGAGTGTTGGATCGTACCAACGATATTATTACGTAATTGTTTTCGTCGCCCTGATACATATCGACCGTTTGGACTTCGATGGGTGCTGTCTGGTCGTCTGCTGTCTTGTCAAAAAGTTGTGGATGTTCTGTTTTAAGTTGTTTCATCATTTTTCTGAGGAGTTTCGTTTGCCCTAAATATGCTGCGATTACTGTTATTTCAGATGGAGGAATGCCGCTGGACAGTAGATACAACACCAAAGCTATAATGCGCTCAGCCTCTTTCGTATTAGTGAACGTACGGTCTTTTTTCTCCGGGTCTGAATGCGACCAGAAAAACATGGAATGACTGATGCATTTCAATGGCTCATTCGCTGATACCAAGTCTAGGTTATCTTCTAAAGTCGGATAGATATCTTTCAGCAATGCCGAAAATTCTGGCCGCATTCTGTTCTGTTTTCTCAACGTCATGTATGGATATCCAGCGTTGATCAATCTTTCCATCATAGAGATATCGAAATTGAAGTCGGTTCGCAACTTGTACGTGTCAACATTTGGTCTGAGTTGCTTATGATCGCCAATCAGGACAAGATGTTGAATTGATGGCGTGAGCGCAGCTAGTAAACTGGGCTCTAGTATTTCAGCGGCTTCCTCCACGATGACGACACTTGGACCAATTTGATGAAGAAGGTCGTGATTAATGGACGCCCCTGTAATAGTTGCACCAATGATTTTCTTTTGCGATAGCACTTCTGCTTTTTTATCCATCTCTAGTTCTTCTTTTCTTTTCTTCAAAATCTCTAATGTTTCAAGCAGCTCGTCAAATTCTTCCGACGTATTTGATGTTGATTCACTCAGTATGCAGTAAAGGAATTGCAATCTTTCAACGGTGTCTAACTGCCACAGGTTTTTAACAGAACGTATTTTAGGGTTGACTTGCATGTCGTTGGGGTAGTCAGCTATATCGATCAGGACATCTTTGTTTTTTGCATAAGTTTTGTTATTGGTAGTGTTTTCTTGAGAAGTCTTCTTCTTGTTTTTGTTTGTCGCATTTTTTGAGGTCTCAAACGATTTGAAAAGAGTCAATCCATCCCTTGACTTGTCGTTTGTTTTCATTCGTGAAAACATTCGACTCTCCAGCAACTCGTTGACATGTTCCTCGTCGCCACTATCTTCTTCATTTGTGTTTTGTTGTGACGCGTCAGTTTCGTTATTCGCTTTGACGTTATCGTCTTCTTCGACGTTATCTTCTTCCGGTTTTCGAACGCGATAGACATATTCTGCTTGGAATGCTTTCATTCGCTGGGGTTCTTGTCTGCTGGGCAACCAAGCTTGGACAGCCGTGTTGAACAAAGTATAAATAAACTGGCAATGTTCTACGTTGGGCAGATCGTTCTGTATGGCGTTGCTTAACGACGTCGTGCAAAACTCTTTGAAGCTTGGGAAAAATTGCAAGACGGATTTTATCAAACTTCTTACGATTGACTTGTCGATATTCTTGCCAAACTTAACGGATGCAGGAATATTTAATACGAGGGAACATAGTTGCTGTTCACTTAGCTCGTAAATCAGCTTCCTCTTCGTCAAATGACTACTTGCATCAACTCGCTGAGATAGATTCTTTATTTGACTTTCCATGTCGCGAATTTCCTGTTTTGTTTCCATAATGTTTTCGTGCAATGTTTTGCTATAACTTTTATCCCTCTGCAATGTCTTCATCACCTCCTGTAAGGTGCAAGACTCCAATCGAGGCTCTTTCGATCGGTTTCCAATCCTGACCATATCATTTATGTCACAAAACTCTAACATGTGTTTGAGAAACTCGTCAAGAGCGTGGTTCTTGTACGTCAACAGTAAAATTGGTTTCTCCAATTTTGGAGACAGCGATAGCAGCAACTGAACTATTTTTGCACCAATAAAAGTTTTACCACAACCAGGTGGACCTAATGAACAAAAACTTGCACTTTGAGACAAAGAAATTATGACAAGCTGAGATCAAAAGTTCAAACACGTGCAACACTATTCTTGTATTGAGAAACGTTTAAAGTTGAATATGTACCTTGTACAATGGCCAGTTTAGATGTAAGTGCATGGATTAGTGCTTCGCATTGGCTGCTTTCCAAGGATGTACTTGAATGTCGGTCGAAGACTTGCAAAAATCTTTGGAAACTCATTTCCCCATTACTGATGTCAGTTGAATTATCAAAAAGGTGCAGAAATCTGTTAGTATTGTTAGTTTTTTTGTATATGGGCTTTGTGTTCACTGATTCTGCTCGCTGCAAGTACTCAGGTAATCCTTCTGTCTCATTTCCTTGCACAATTTCATCTCGCAAAGGAAAATTCTCTATGTCGAACTCTTTCAAACTTCGCAGCACCGGATTAAAAGCATGATAATACGTAGGAGATTCGACCATTACCGCTGAACCTGAAAGAATTATTTTATAGTCAAGATGAAAGCAATCTGTTGTTGAGACTGGTGTTGTCGAAAACATACAAATCATCTAAAAGAAAATACGAAAACAAATTAAATGTTTCGTTTATTTGTGCTCTAGTCAGAGATCTAAGGAACTGAATGTTAGCTGCGTTTTTGGTACAATGTCATGCAAGAGGGCTTAGTAAGAAATATCAGTTATGATGATGACTCGATTTCTTAATATCGGTTCAAGTTTACCTGCTTGTGCTTGTAGTGATATGACGATTTGACTGATCGTTTTTAAGTTAAAGTCAATCAACTCAAGCATAATGATCTGATATTTGTTCAGCAATTCTGCATCTCTATTTGATACCACAGCCCAAATGACATCATCAAACTTCCGGTTAAGCGATAGACACACCAAGTTTCCAAACATAAGTTGTGATGAAGTTTTCCAGTTTCGCACTATTTTCGCCGACGTGAAATGAATTACGAGAGAGAAGCGTCCATTTTGCACCTCGAATCCGGCCAAGTGTACATTGTAGTAGACGTTCATATCTCGTTCGTCTAGCTCACAAGCTTTGAGGTCTTTTATACCGTGTTGTATGCCAGAGAATGTTTCGGCACGAAGCAGTCTGAAATACGTATCCATATATGTTTCTGAATCGCTGTAAGTGTTCCTCACCTTGGAAAGATGTCTGTCTTCCTCCACCAAATTACCAGCCATCTCATTTTCTGTCGGAATAAATGGGAGATTTTGCCAAATTCCTAAAACAAGTATAAAGCAATTGTAAATTGCACATTATTTTTAAGCTTGTTTGGTTGCAATGATTCCATTCCAAACATTGAAAGATTCGACTTGTATAGAACAAGAGACAGAAATTCCACTTTATTTAAAAATCATTATCAGGCTTTATCTCCGGCAGTCTACTTGAAAAAAAAAGTTGTCAAATTTCCTAAAGTAAGCAGTAAATGCCATGTAAAAACGACTTAATATCCTCGCTTTTTCGATCTTTACCGTTGAATACCGGACCTCTATTATTTAGTGCAAGCATCACATGCATCGTTGATCTGTGCAAAAAGACGTCAGTTTGATACTTCTCGATAATGACCAGGCGCTAGTATCAAGACCCGGTGCGAAGTGAATACTGTTGAAATACAATTTACATGCCTTCGTGATATCGAAATATGACTGATGATTTCTAAATGGTATGCATTCACGAGTTCTCTAAATCTTAGGTATATTGTTTGTTTATAACCTTCATCTGCTACCACTCCCGAACTTTGACTGGATAGAGACGTGGACAGGATTTTCAACAAAAAGCTTTGTGTTGTTGGATTTTGGATCTTTTCGCAAATAGCTGTCACTGTCGGTAAAAGAAAGCGAGCTGTGGAGGGAACCTGGCAGACGACGTTTTCGCAAAAGTTGCGAAATATTTTTGTCTTTATGGGGTAAAGATTTCCATCCCTCACATAAATGACGTCTTTCTGAGGAAGAAATGTACTTGATTTTATTAAAGAGGGCAGACTTTTGTCTTCATACGCTCTGAACAATAATCCCTGTGTCACATTTTTCATGGCTTCTTCCACCAAAGTTTTGCATGGTTTACCAACGAGCAAAACTTGTAACAACACCTCTATTAGCTCCATGATATAAGGCAACCGTGGCTCATCCTCTGAAAAAGAAAGTGAAAATAGATTCACTCTAAGATGCGCAACATTCCATAGCCAATAATCATGGAGTTATACACACAAATGTTAGGCTTAGCTAATCATGGCACATTTGTCATTGTAGAATTTGCATCTCAGGGCTTACAGAGTTATGTTTAAGTTTATCATTAATGTACTGTTGAACGTCTTATAAGCGGACATTCTGGGAATACGACCTGGTTGTATTCTTACGGAAGCTCTCCGCTAGTGAGAGGTAATATTTTATTGGCATATATCATAAACCAGTGTCCGCTTAATTGTCTGGTGAGGTTCGACTATAGTTTACGCATAACATTTCGTTTTTACAACGAGGTCTATGCAGTAAATTCCAGCTGTAAAGGGTAAAGCAAAGCGAAAACGTATTCTATTGACTTGGCGTAAGGTTGTGTTGAAACCACGAGCATATTGAAGGCTAAAACTAAAGACTAAAAATTCAAAGGAAAATTTGCTAGCTCTTTACCAGCTTAAGTCAGCTTTGAGCCACAACGGAAAGTCGCCGCAAATTTCAAAAACTCGTTGCCAATCTTATATGTAAAAAAAATTAAACTTGGCAGCGAATTTTGACGTTCGTTGTGTAAAATTTCTTTAGACATTAAGTAATGGTGTCATGCATCTGGTCTGGACAGTAGGCTCCTGGCTCGGTTACAAATTTCCAAAACACAAAATATGGTATTTATTATGGTATATACAGAACGATTACTCGTGTCGGAATCTTTGATGTTTTTGTCCTCGCGCATTTTGTGCTACGCATGTTGGCTGCCATTATTCCAGCAAATTGAATAGAGTTTTCACTGCCTCCCAACCGCTAAAATGGCGTGTAGTCAATTTGCAAGTCAAAATATTCTGGAATCAATCCTCAGAAATGACATCCGTATTTTAGTGGTTGGAAACAAGTTACGAACTCTTATCAACTTGTTGGAATAATAGCGTTGCACATGCACGCGCAGTCACATGCACACCTGAGTGACCTTATGCATAATCATTATTCTGTGACAAAACAATGAAACTGAGAAAATGAAAGTGCTGTTTGCAACCGTGATGTCAAGAATACCATTATAAACAAAGATGTCGGGTATTTAATACGAAGAACAAGGAACTACCTTGTCTAGGACTTAAACATGGCGATCCAAAGAAACTCCATTGAACAGAATTAGACAAACTTTCCATGAGAACTTTTTTACCGTCCATTGATTTCAAATCGTCCAACAAATTTGCGAGGTAATCTTGTATTTCCTGCCAGCTCCGATTCGTGTATTTCGTTATTTTTACTTTTCGTGCCATTGGCCTCGATTTGTCTCTATCTCCAAGGACAAACTCCACCGAATCTCCAGCCTTCACCGGTAGTAAATGTGGAGAAATATTTGTCGGGTTCAGATAGACATCCCTCGGTGAATAATTGCTTGGCAGCGTCTCTAAAGGCTTTATAAAGATGGACTTTGGGTTGATTTTACAAAACGTACCCTTGTACCAATCGAGTTTTTCATTGGACCTTATCGCCACTTTGCGTTTCGGCCTTTTCCCACTCATTCTGGTCGATCTAGAGGCAAATTAAACCATATACTGCTTAAATAAATGTATTACTTGTACTGACTGTTGTGTCAAAACTGCCCATAATGATAGAAGTAGTTGTCATTACAGTACTGAGTATAGTTTGTGCATGTTTACCGATTGAGTTGTACTTGACCTTCTTTTGCTCCTTGTGGTTGACAACAGTTTTAACCTGCCACACAAAACATTTGAAGAATTTGATCAGAAATTAATATGTAATAATGTAGAAGGAAATGATACATGACTGTGATTGGTTGGGTTTAGTCACAAACACCAACGCTAAGGCTGTGAAGGATAAAGTGTAAATTTATGTGAAAAAGTATTAACGAAAGTTACCTTTTTCAAATCGTTCAATACTAGTTATTTTATAGTAAATGGTTTGAAGCCGGGAGTATCGTTACAGGTTTGTAAATGTAGATCGTCTAGGTTAGTATAGTCCTGAGATAGACTGCTTTTGTTGTTGTTGACTGACGTTTCGACAACCTTAGCGGTAGTCAAATGTTATTTTACTAGATATTTTACTATTTAACAATACTGTGGGTTTTTATGCGTTCAGACAGCTTGAAATCGTAGACTCATGATAGTCGGAAATTAATCTTTTATTTTGAACTTTGATCAATTCACTTCCTCATATTTTCCTTAATTTATTGTAATTACATAGTATTCTAATTAAAATTGTATTGCAAAATGCCGGCTTTTTTAATTAGTAACTCACCCTAGGATATTTTGTTTTCATACAAAGCAAACAAAACATATATTGCTTTGAATAGCGTACTTGAAATGATAAATAACAACTCGGTAGTTCTAAAAAAAAACTTTTGAAAATATAAATATATACTAGAAGTTGCTATCGCAAGGGGGGAGTGCTGCGCCCACCCCTTGTCTGGAAAAAATTGCACGGTTTAGACCGTAGTCACAACCATTGGAACCACCTTCGTGTACAGCATATTAGGTGGTTTCATACATACGTTATGATTGGGTGATTAGAATGATAGACAAAGAATTTTACATGCGTGTCAGCAAACACAACTTTTAGCTTTGCGTTGGCTAGATTCATTTCGCCATGTTTAGAGTTTTCTTTCTATTTGAAGGCCGGTTTACACGTTCCGATTTGTCAGATCCGATTGTTTCGGTTCCGTCTTTTGATTGCTTGTTCAGACGGTCAGATAGTTTTGTTGATATTTAGATACGTTTAGATATTTATAATCTTGAGAGCAGCCATTTGTGTTGTCCAGTAATTTATCGATATATTTGTGTACTTTTCTTCTTGTTTCCAAGTCTTTTTCAAATATATATAATTTGGCTAGTCGGCTTCCTCTGATCTTGTCGGTCAGATGAGAATAGAACAAGTTCTATTCCTGTCCTCTTTTTTAGATTGACAGTTCCGACTGTCGAAGACTAACTTTATATGTGCTCAAACGATCCGTTTTTAAGATCCAACAAAATCTGATCCGACAAATCGGATCGAGTGAACGGGCCTTTATCAAGCGGGCCATACCTTATTTGGAATACATGAAAACAAAGGCACGCGTTCTGAAAGTCGACGGTTGATTTCCGGCAAAAAATAGCTCCCGTCCTTTACAGGGGCGGATCTAGGATTTTTCAAACATCAGTCATAAAACGTCGGAGGCGCTCCGCATCTGGGGTGGTCTGAGGCATTCTCCCCTGAGAAATTTTGAATTTAAGAGCCTTGAAAATGCCATTTTTAGCGTTTTAGAGCAATACAAAATGTATTTTGTGGGCATCGTTTTTGCGTAAAAACAACACATTTTGCTTACGTTTTTTTCAAAAAAAAATATGAGGTGAACAATACTTGAATGTTTTGCCAAATATTTAGGCTCATTATCATGCAAAATATATGGCTCATTAGCATGTCTAGGAACGTAAAATTTATTTTACAATAATGCTATTCAAAAACAGATATAGTCTTTAAAAATTTCTACCAAGTTGTCAGGCATAGACCCCCCTAGAGACCCCCATTCAAACCTCTATGTAATGAGTTAAGTTAGAAATTTGATACTACAAGTGACAGTTCATAGATCTAGAAAAGCTCAGACTTCAAACCATGCAAGCATATTGTAACCCTTTACCCATCTCCACATCAGTGCCAGCAAATTCAATTTTTGAGAAAAAATTCAAAATTTTTTTTTTGCCAAAGATTAAGCAAAAATTATCAGAGTGAAAATTTGCAGTTAAGGACAGCTTAATGCCATAAATGTTTATCAGGCATTTCACTAGACTATTATCTTCTGTAAGTATATGCAAGGTGTGTTATATAGCAATCACTAGTAGCATTGTATTTGCAAATACAAGCAGAATGTAACCAACATGTCTTTAATTATATAATTACATGAATGTTAAAATTGGTTCATGTGTCATGCTTACTGGTTATGTGATATCTTTTCATTTGATCAAAGCTCGTTTAAATGTAAATCTGAAATAATTTAGTTTAGAAATTATAATGATCATCAGAAAAATTACCTAGTGATCATGAAAAATACTTTGCTGTTTTGCCAAATTTCAAGGTTTATCTGCATTCATAGAAAGACATTTTTACTTTATAGAAAATGCTTTTCATACATCAATAGCCCGTTGGAATTTATAGCAAACAATCTGGTATGAGCCGTAGATTAACACACCTTTACATCTCTACATGAGGCGTTCAGTTAGAAAAGGGGACAATATGTGACATGGGACAACATTTCATGTATGTGAAATACTCAGGTTTAATACCATTCCAGTCAAATTGTCAAAATAAAAAGCTGCATGGATGAGAAGACTCAAAATCACAGGTTATAGTAAACAGCTTCTCATGTAATTAATGTTATTTTTCTCAAATCTTAAACAATAGAGTGGTGCCACGCATCAGCGTGGCAACAATTAGTTTATATCCTAATTTATATTAGTCTCTCGCTATTATTCTTAATTTATATATTATTATATATAATAATATATCTAATTTGTATATTAATTTTGGTTATTAACATTTCTTTTTCGAACTACCGAGTTGTCATTCACCATGGCAAATACACTTTTTGTGGTCAACCGTTTGTCTTACAAAAAAAAGAATGTTTACATTGATGCAATGTTTTGAATATTTTTATTCTGTGTAAAATGAATTGCATAATATGATAATCGTAGTGATAAACTTACATCCAAGTTTACATTTCGGAACTGAAGATGGACAAATTGCTGTTATTTGTCGCTATTTTTGAATTAATACTTCATTCGATCCGATTAGTGTAACTCCATTTTTTTTTGTATATGTTTCCTAAGTGCTGAAAATTTACTTCTTCACCAAACTTTATTTTTTACAGAGAAACACTGTAGTAAACAGATACTTTAATAGTTTAATTTATAGTTATGATTGATAAGAATTGGACAGGTGACAGGAACTATATTTAGGGATGAGAACGAGTGAAATATACATAAAAAACGATTGCATGTAAGGAGGTTACTATTGATATTTAAGAGCAAAATTAAAAAGATATTACAAACATCATCTCGTGCGAATTTGAAAGTGAGTATCCCCTCAAAAAATAGAATATGAATGACAAACCCAAGAATTCAATCAAATAGTTATTTAACGACATTTTCGTGAAAACGATTTATGTTTTGTACGAATATCGGTGTTGTAAATTGTGTAAAAGGGAAGTTTTAATGGTATGTTTTACCAAAGAATGCAACGTTTCTATTGTGCCAATATAACATTACTGAAACCAAATGGTACAAGAATAAAACTGTATAACCTAAACATGATGATGTTATATATCGTAATGCTGGAACTTTCAGCGTTAATATTAAAAGTTCTCCCATTTTCTGTAGTTTCAACTGACGTTTTTCTTTATAGATATTCTCACCATGTATCTAATTCTTTCTTTAGCCGTTTCAGTTGTCTTGTCGGTTGAAAATACAGCTATAAACAGCAACAAGATAGGAAAAAATGTGACATGTGACTTGTTAAGCGTATGTTGAGGGCTTCTAAGAATTGAAATTCCATGAATTGAGGCAAAAGAGAGAAGACTGAGGAAAGTGAAAGTTTATAATATCAATTTGTTTCTTAGTCTAGGGCAGCAAGTGTATCGCAAACACCTATTTGTGTCATGGAATGAAAGGTGAAAAAATGTTTTGCTTTTTTATTTGACGATATTTTTACAGTTACTCAAATTATAAGCACCATGTTTCCTCTACAGCTTTAAGTCAATACCTTTAAGGTATATTGTGGCTATTGAGAACTCTATTATACGCAAATGTACTACATTCGTATAATTTAATGAATTTATCAGGCTTATGTAAAGTCTACTTATTGAGTTAGGGTTTTAAAAAGCGGAAAAAAGCTTGATCAAAACTATGCCATGATCATGAGTAAATTTGTTTGTTTTGCAACAGCAAATAGTCTGATTAAAATGAGTGCACATGTGAGTTGGTAAGATAGCCGTATAATATTTGGCATGAACTATTCCGAGATTCTTGATTCACACACTTTAACTGCGTCTGAAATAACATTACTTATCGTGAAATGTAGGCAAAGCTTAGTTTTTTAAACATCATTAATTAATCTTAATGAACATGTATAAACAAATATCACATATGGTAACGTCACAGCGTCGTAACGTGATACTGTTGTAAACCTTGCTGAGATGTATATATATATATAAAACACCACGTGTCCGTCTAACCCGCCATGGATCTATCAAATATGGCCATATCAGGCCATTTTTACCTCATTTTCGCATTTTTTATGTCATTTTCACGTCGTGTTTGCTTTGTTTCTCCAAGAACACATTCAATCGTCTTGCTTTCATGAAATTTTTTGCTTGCCGTTTTTCCATATCTTTGTACAGATTTTCCACTTGAATTGCATTCAAAGTATTAAAAATATTTTGTGATCTGTAGAGGGGGTTTAGCAGCAAAAATGAAGAGAGCTAATTCCTGTCGCCCTGATGATAATTGGGGCGGAAAGAAGAGGAGACTTTTGGAAAAAAAATTCATACCTAGGGGAGGAATACAGCAATGGCACCAGGGGGAATTATGTCCGATAAAGTTGGAGAAAGCGTGGTTTATTAAACCTTATAACGATCTCCCTAACGGTTATGATAAAACGAAAGATGTTTTTATGCACCCAAGCTCTATTTCCAAATATATGTTATCGTTACAAGAAAAAGACGTGCTTGATTTTATTCTTGGAGATCGAGATAAAACTAAACCGATGGCTTGTCGCATTCGGGTGTCGAGTTTTTCTTCACGAACACAAACACAGGTTGTGGACTATTTAAAAAAGCTTGTGGACCACTTGAAGTCTGCGCATGTAAAGCAAGTTCTTCAGCAAATATTGCCATGTAATGCGCTGTGGACCTTCTTAGGTTCTCCCACGTTCAAGTCTGTTGAAGGCAAGTAAACAAATTTTTTTGATAACTGTCCGTTTTAGGAAAAGTCTGATAATATTTTGGAAAAGATCTTTTTAATCTTTAATAATGAAATCATGAGTATTTTATATACTTAGACTTAGTAAAAGCTGTTTGCATTGATTGCAAAAACATTCTTCGCAGATGTTGAAAGATTTACTTTCATCCAGTATAATTGCATCAAATGGTTAAAAAAATAAAAAGATGTTTTGTCTGCTCAATTTAGAGGGAAGAGCGGCAAACAAAATTTGAACTTTAAATCTTTTCTTAAAAATTTGGAATTAGTCGGCACATGGCAAGTTTTGCAAAGCATTTCGAAATTGTGCGCAAAATGTTGAATATCAGTTAGTAACGTGGGCTTTAAACTCAACTGTGAGATTTTCGCAGAACGATCCCGTTTTATTTTTCGAGTAATTAATCTGTTTTACCTGTAATTAGCTAATAAATTGTCTGGATAATAAAGAATTTGGGTAAAATCCACTTGCTTTTGCTAATTGTGCAAATATCCCTTATTCATGTTATACAAATCAACATTGAACATGAAAATGTGTCTTGTTGGAAATACGTTTCTTATCGACATCGCGATTTGACGTTACATTATTCTACAAGGCGCATAAATACTTTTCATTCTTTCTTTCAGACGAGGAAGATTTATTTCTCATCTACGTTGAAAAGGTTTTAAAAGTTGTAGAAATCATTTTCGCCAATAGAAGAGCCTACAAGACTTTAGTAGAAGCTGCTCTCGACAATTTTGTTGCAGGCACCATGTTTAAACAGTATAGCAAAAGTATACCAAGTGTTATTATGACGTCTGTTTATGACCATGAATTGGATGTGTTTCGTTGCAACGAGAAGCCTGATGTGTTGTTCCCCACTAAAGAAATCCGGGCATTTTGCGTTGATTCTATTGGTTTTCGTCCTTCAACACTCACTTTTCTTTTGCCTACAGTTAATGCTATGAAAGGAAAAATGTCCAGCTCTGTTGCTGTAGAATTCTTGTACCAGCTGCTGTCACTCAGTGGTCAACAAGTAAATGGGGGCTTGGTAAACACAAGTGTTTGGAAGGAGCTACCGATGATACCAACCGAAGAAGAACTCGCAGGAAATTTAGTTGAAGAAGATAAAAACTTGCGACCAGTCAGGAAAAGCGATCGATATGACAACTCAGAGCAATATATGGACACGTACTTCCGGTTAGTTCGAGCGGAAGCCTTCTCCGCATTGCAACATGGTATCAAAAATCTCAAGTCTTGCACACTTGATCTTCGCGATATGAATGTATACTATGATCTTTACTTAGTTGGATTTTCTTTTCAAAATGCTCAATTTGCTGTGGCAATTCGTTTTACTCCAACGAAGAAAGTGAAAAATTGGAAAGCTTCACCTCAACTCATGTATGGCAACTTGGTCTGCATTTCGATCAACCGGAAGTTTGATGACGTTATCTGGGCTACTGTCTCCAACAGAGACAAACATTTACTTACTGAAAAACAAATCATAATGTTAACTCTTTTAGATGAAAATACAAAAAGTGTTAGTGAGATAGTGTATTTGTTGCACGTGCAAGAAGGTAATTGTTAATATTTTGCCCTCTTATTTTCTTTTTGGTGTGCCTTTTACTTAGCAATGCCAATGCAGCATGGATCTTTTGCTATAGGTGTATACGTTGCGCAAAATCATTCATTTAATAAATGGATTAGTGTGTTAGTTTTTGTCTTTATTTTCTTTTCTCAATATCATAGGTTCTGCTGTAATGGTGGAATCTCCTACGTACTACTTTTCCTTGAGCCCCATCTTGAAGAGCCTAAAGGATTATGATATGGAAAACTTCCCTCTAAAAGAAGAGATCGTTCAGTCTAAAGCTGACGACAAGCTACCTGAATATCTGTCTACAGCGACCATGGATATCTCCATTCTTTTTTTGACCGAGGTTCAATCCCAAGAAGTCGAGATGGTAAACTCTCCCTCGGTTGTTCACCAGTCTCCTACGTGCACCCCGTCAAGCTCCATCTTGGTGTGTCCGAAGGAACTCAAGGTAGAAGAAAATATTGGAGATCAAACCAAACTTCCGTCTGTTATTGCATCGAATTCCTCTTCATCGGAAACAGGATCAAACGAAATTCATATGCTATGTTCCTCCTCGTTTGATGTCCAGTCGCCTCAGAAATATTTTAAGGTGAAAGAGAACATGAAAGATCAAACCAAACATCCGAGGAGACTGTCAGTAAATACAACAAATTGCTCTTCAATACGATCTGTTGAAAGTCCTATGGTAAGTTTCTCCTCGTTTGGTAACCAGTCCCCTACGTACGCTTCGTCAAAAGCCATTTTAGTCAGTCCGAAAGAATTTAATGTGGAAGTCAAGATGGAAGATCATATGGAAGACCATACAGAACAATCGACGTCGATTTCTTCCTCTTCGAAAACACAATCTAAAGAAATTCCTGTTGCAAACTCCTTTTTGGTGAAAGTAAAAGAATTCTTGGAAACGAATAATTCTCCTTGTTTACTTGAAGAGAGCCAAGCTGAAGCCCTCAAACATGCTCTTGGAAATAAGTTGGCCATCATTCAAGGTTTGTAACGTATTAATGAACATCTTCGTCTCATTGGTCAATAAAATAATGAATAATGTTGTACTTTATGTTCCTGTTTATGAATTTTATTCTAATCATATTGTATAGATCCTTTTTCATGTCATAATCAGGTTGGATTAGTTATAAGATTACTTTATCTGAAGTCAAAGCAGGTAGAATGAGAAAAAAAATAAGTAAAAGTAAACATATGTGAAATCCTTAAATTAAGGAACAAAGAGAATATTTGCATACAAAACTAATGTTTTGAAATGAGAAGTATCAAAAGTTAAGCAAGCTGATCTTTCCTGTTGTTGAACTATGACTAAAATTATCGATCAAAAGAACAAATTTGACATATTTTTATATTTATTAGGTCCACCTGGCTGTGGTAAAACATTTATCGGTGTGAAAATCGTTCAGTTGCTGCTATCGCTGTCTCCAAAATTAGAGAAACCAATTTTATTGTTGACGTACAAGAACCACGCTCTTGACGAGTTTCTCAAACACATGTTGGATTTTTGTGACATAAATGATATGGTGAGGATAGGAGGTAGATCCAAGGAGGAATGTTTGAATTCTTGTAATATGAAAAGCGATCAATATGTCCACTTGGAAGGGCGTCGTGGGATGAGATTATCAATATTAAAGTGGAAATTGAAACACTCATGAGTGATATTAAAAACCTTTGCAAGAATATGCTAAAAAGCTGCAGTTTGACGAAAAGCAACATACGCCGTGCTTTGTCGGAACAACAGTTACGCTCACTGATTAGGAATGCTCCTTCGAACAATCGACCAAATGAATTGGCGTCGTTGGCCAGCGGTAAAAGTTTGGAAGATTTTTTGAGTAGGACTGTAATGTGTTTTCTGGTGGAAAAAGAATATTCTGAAATCGAAGATCGTCGTGAGAGATTTTGCGTAAAAAGTTTTTACAAGGCTTTTCACATGTGGCTTCCTAAGCGGGAGGATCTTTTGCGTTTGAAGAAATTGCAAACAGGTTTTGTCCTTCCATTAGAGAATGTGATGAAGGGACATGTAAAGAAGTCGGAGAATGACGCCCTTGATGAAGATGGAGAAGAAGATGAGGAATACGTAAATCAGTTGCTTGAAAAGAGAATGGCATCACAGGCAGGCTATTTTGAGTCATCACGTAATTGTATTCTTTTTCAAGACAATCAAGATAATGCAGACGTATCGGAAAGTGTCTTCGTAAAGATATCAGATTATCCACGTGATATGGTTGTGAATCCACAAATACGATCTGTTGAGAATCTTTGGAGTTTAGACGAAGTGCAACGCTTACAATTTTTGTATTGTCTACTTGAGGAGAATTCGAGTAAGTTATTGAAAGAGCTTGGCGATCTAGTGGAGAAAATGAAAGAATTAGAGAGAAAAAAGAGAGAGTTAAAAATGGACAAGAAAGTAGAAATGCTTTCAAAAAAGAAAATTATTGGTGTAACTATTACCGGAGCTTCCATTTATCACGATCTACTTCATCAAATTGGTCCATGTGTCGTGATCGTAGAGGAAGCCGCTGAAATACTTGAGCCAAGCTTACTGGCTGCGCTCACTTCATCCATTCAAAATCTCATACTTATCGGGGATCATAAGCAACTCAGGCCACAAGTCGATACATATAAGCTGTGCAAAACGTTTCAGTTTGATATCTCCATGATGGAAAGATTGATAGAATCTGGTTTCCCCTACAAATCACTTGCCCAGCAAAACCGAATGCTTCCTGAGTTTTCAGCATTGCTCAAAGATATTTATCCATATCTTAAAGATAACCTTCCCTTGGTGTCAAAGAACGAGCCATTAAAATGTATTGAGAAGTCAATGTTCTTTTGGTCTCATAATGATCCTGAAAGCAAGGAGCGCACCATCAGCAATGAAAATGAAGCAAAACGCATTGTTGCACTTGCTCTGTATCTTATGTGGAATGGAGTTTTGCCGTCTGAGATTACAGTTTTGGCAGCGTACAAAGGACAGATGAAGCTTCTTCGAAAACTGATAAAAGACGCAATGGAATTATGTGAAATTGAGAACATAACAAAAGCTAAAAGGGGAACAGTTGATAAAAATTTGTCTAACGAAGACATAAGAAGAAACGATCGTTATAACTTTATTCAAGTGCAGACGATTGACATGTATCAGGGTGACGAAAACAAGTATGTTATAATCTCTCTGGTTCGTTCAAACGATGAAAACAGAATTGGATTTCTAGAAAAGATGAATCGTCGTTGCGTTGCTCAATCGAGAGCAAAATGTGGCATGTACTTTGTAGGAAATGCAGATACATTACGTGGCGCTAAGAATTCATGTTGGTCTTTTCTTATAAAATCGTTAGAAGACCAAAACTGTTTAGGAGATGCCATACCTCTGCGGTGTACTAAGCACAGCACTTCCAAGTATTTAGCTGTGAATGCTGAGGACGTTATGAGGGCTATAGATTATCCTCAAATTTTGTGCGACGAGATATGTGGAGAAACATTTGTTTCTTGCGAGCAACATTCTTGTAAGTTGCCATGTTTTCCAAGACATGACGACCGTCATCATCTTTGTGATGAAAAGATTAACGACGTGTTTACCAACTGTGGCCATCCTGTTATCCGAAATTGCACAGACGACATCACTCATTTATTATGTGATGAAAAAGTTTTCGTAGAGCTTAAATGTGGACATCTGTACGAGAAAAAATGTTATCAGGAAAACTCCTCAATTCGGTGTTTAGAACGATGCAAGGAACTCAACAAGTGTGGAATGCACCAATGCGAGAAGTATTGTGGCATTCCTCATGTGCATAAAATTTGTCAATCTATGGTCGATTATCATTTTCCTAACTACGGACATCCTTCACCGAAGAAAAAGCCGTGTTCCACACCCATCACATGGAAGTGTAAGTATGAATTGCCCATAACTGGCGCGTGTGGCCACAAATTTACGAAATTGTGCTATGAAGAAGATGAGCGCGTCGAATGCCCACTTCCTTGCAGACAAAAAAACTCGTGTGGAGTTCATCAATGTAAAAAAACATGTGGCGTGCCTCATGGCCACGACGTTTGCACAGATTTGATTGATTACGTCTTTCCTGACTGTGGTCATCCATCTCCAAAAAAGAAGAAATGTTCCGAACCAATAACTTGGAAATGTCGCTACAAGGTACCGTTTACATGCAAATATAACCACGAAATCCAGAAAGAATGCTATCAAAATGACCAAGAAGTAATCTGTCCAGTTAAACCATGTGGCAGGTTACGTAAATGTCGTCATCCTTGTAAAAATGCTTGCGGGGAGGATTTCGAGAAAGGAGAATGTAAGCAGTGCTACCGCATATATCTTAGGAACTTGGAAAAATTCCACGAAAACGCTAAAGCGCGAGTCAGAGAGCTACAAAAGCAAATTTCAAATACCAAAATATCTCGGTTTTCACGCATTGAGTTGCTCAAATCCGGTGATACAGCTGCAGAGTATCAGAAAGTGAAAGATCAAGTCATGAAATTTATTCAACCTTGTCACAAATGGTTTCCAAGAATCACGAAAATCGAGAAAGTCACAAATCTTGACCTAGAGAAAAAGTTCGAAATAGCTAAATCCAAGGCATTTAGGGAATATATTGACACGAAATTTCATGGTACGTCATATACGGCTTTGCGAAATATAATTCGGGAAGGATTCAAAATGCCCCCAGCCAGACCAGAGCCATTGAGTAAACGTGGAATGTTTGGTCAAGGAATCTATTTTGCCACAGATTCTTCAAAAAGTGCACAAGAAATTTACACTAAAGGTTCTCAGGCATTGCTTCTGTGTCGAGTAATTCTTGGAAAGTCATTAATAGTGAAGGAAACGGATTATACTTCAGACAAAAAGAAACTGAGATCCCAAAAATGTGACTCTGTGTACGCACCACGTGGAACAGCTGTGGTGAATGATGAATTTGTGATTTTTGATCCAAATCAAGCCCTTCCACAATATATCATTTACTTTTCTGACAGCAAAGATGTCTTACCTCCATCTCCTTCAATTCATACCACAGAATCGTTTAGCATAAAAAATATGAAGCCAAGCAGAGAGGTGAATTTCCAAGATCCATTTGAGATGTACTACCATTTTGCCGAATCTCACTTTCGACGAATGTCTGCCAACAGCAGTTTACAGAATGTAAATATCACTGCCATTGATATTGTCGTCAATAAGGATCTTGAACAAAGGTTTGAAGCAACAAAGAAGAAATTTCGTGATGTAGGTATTCCAGATAACGAAATTCTTGCATATCATGGAACAGATAAGAACAACATCCCCAGCATTCTCCAGAATAATCTTCAGTTGAGTTTTGCACGAAGACAGTTGTATGGTGAAGGAAATTATTTCTCTGAGTTCCCTGAAGTCAGTATTGGTTATGGCGATGGTTTATTATTGTGTCGAATACTTCCAGGAAAGGAATTCGTTGATTCTAGCTCTGCTAATGTACCGTCTGGTTTTAATTCAAAGAAAGTTTTACTTGGCAAATTGAACCCAGCGACACGTGCGTGTGGTAAAATAATCATCATTGAAAATTCAGATCAAATTTTACCGTTCTTTGTTGTTCATCGTTGACAGTCAACTTTTTGCATGTTTAAACAGCTATTTTGATATTTGACCACTGTCGCGACGTAATGGAGCACATTTAAAAAAACTTAGGGAAACTTTCTGAACTTTGCGACTTTGGAAAGAGAAAAGCAAGATGTTTGGGATTTCCACAGTATTTGTGGAATATTGCAGTGATAACGGAAGGAACCAGGCGTGGCTACTCATATGAGGTTTTTTCACGCACGCCGTCAAATATGGAGAACATCACGAAATTGTGGAACATATCGTTGGCATTCATCATATAACTGATCACTTACATAAAAATATTTGTACAGGAAAGGAAAAGAAACGGTAGCGCTATTTCAAAGAATTTTCACTATGATTCATGCATCTCAGGCATGTGATTACCATCATGACACAGCCAGTCATCCATTTTCTGACCAACAGAAACGCCGAAGTAACTAACTACAGCCGTTAATCTCATTCAACATACAGAACCAGGCTGCACAGTCAAGGTAGATCTACCTTTTATTTCTTATACTGATTGAGACACGCAGCTTGACTTCAACTGAACAGACCAGCAAGTGAATAGGAAGACTTTTCGTACATTTATTTCTGTTGATGGATGTTCAGGATAGTTTACGTCTCTATAATGACCGTATTTTTGTATTTATATATAATTTAGATAGATATCAGTGCAAGCTAATTTTCAAAACATTGTCTCTCTGTGATGACTTCATGACAATCACTCAATAGATGACTCAAACTCTAATACTTTGGTAAAATTTTGCTAGTTATTAAGTAGTTACTGCTGCTTGACGCCGAGCTAAGAAGTACTAGCATTTTTATGAATCTTTTTCAATTAGTGGCAGAAACGTCTGAAGAGCCTGCTAGTTTACATGCCAAACATGGCTATAGGTAAACCTGATGGAGATTGCTGCATGTTGAAACCGGCTATTTGCAAATAGCAAGATATAGGAGAACTGGTAGGATATAGTTTTCATTTTATTTTCTTGGATCTCAGGAATATTGTAGGACAGGGGGGGAAGTTAACAGGGATAGCATTTGACTGAACAATGAGGACCAATCACAAAAGGCTTTGACGTAAATAATATGAAATAATCAGAAATATATAGTATTGCTTGAACTATGCTTATTTATCTACTTCATTTTGTGGCCATATGCCATTTATTTGACAAGCTGCCCGCATGTACACATTGCGTTTCTATTTTATTTATGCATGACAATTAGCCCAGCATGATTCACACGTCACTTGCTTTGTTTATGACTTGTTAAAATCGAAACTAAATTCAGTAGATGATTTGTGTTCCATTGTCGTGCAGAAATTTGTATTATTGTACGTGCAGTTGCTGTGTGAAATAGGTATTAATGTTCTCTTTACGTTTGGATATGTAATTTCGTTTTTTATGTTCTGTGGTCATTTATTTATGCAATATTATTGTCTTCTTTATGCTCTGCCGAGTTCGTTTATGAAATTACAATAAACTAAAACATATTGAAAATTTTAATGAAAGAATACTTCATTTAATGGGACAATTCGGTAGAACTTGTCATAAATATTTCAACCAATGAACTTTGCTTTGATATGCTGCGCTATTAATGTATACATTAGTCTAATTTATTAATAAAGTTAAGCTAACGTCAAGTGTCGTGTATTGAACATGATTAAATGAACATACTAACAAGAGACTTTAGTTATACCTGGGCACCAGTACCGTATTTATTTCTTACAACCACTGATATGTATATTAGACTGGATAACGAATTTCTTGCAAAAATTGAAGCCAGAAGATCGATCATTTGCTACTGGCTTCATGGGTGGTATCGTTCCTACTTTACTATACTTTGTATTACAAAATCACAGTTTTCACGTTTTTATTCCCTTTACCAACTTCTGATTAAGGTAAAATTTTTATGACGTTCAGAGGAAACCGGTAGAGAGTTTTAACCCCGAAGTTCTGTTTTTTTGGCTTTGTAACGACAAAAAAATAAGATTTTAAGTTGTATTGAAATTTGAAAGTTGAAGGTGACGAGGACAATTTCAGCCGTGCGAGGCATTTTTAGAAGATGAATACTTAAATTACAATTTTACAACAAAGTAAGAACAAAGGTATTCATATCTTCAACATATTCATCGACATTGAAGTTGTTCACATAGGAACTGGTTGAAAACTTTGCTTTGCTTAATGACAACAGAGGTACTTTAATTCGCATATTTTGATGATGTACATCTCGTAGAGTTTGATGATACCGTTTTCAACTTACTATTGTTCATCAAAATGTCTTTCTGATTATTTTTATATGTCGATTTGTTTTGTTTCTTCACTGATATAATAAAGACGTAATTTGTAATTATTATGATATTAGCGATGTGAATAACAAAGTGTTATTAAATAAGTAAATTTGTAGCAATCTTCTATAAACGTCATTGCAGATAAATTTAGGTAGCAGTAGTAGGATTCTTGTAAGAAGCAGCAGCATCATATAATCTCCAGTTTGTTTCAAAACAATCCAGGTCGACCTTGTACCATCTCAATTTTCTGCCATTATAAAGCCAAGAAGATATCTTTTTAGGATTAAATATCCTTGCCGATTGTTCTGTCCCTTTCACAAAAATTTTGCTCGAATCAAAAGTTTGTAGAACGAATAAAAAAGCAAAAACTGTGATTTTGTAATACAAAAGTATAGTAAAGAGGGATCGATGAGCCAACTTCCGGCTTCAATTATCTTACTATATTTTATACATGGTGCGTTATCCAGTGTAATGTACATATCAGTGGTTATAACCCAACTTGATTTCTCTTTTAAACAGATGGCGCATGTGAAAAAAAATCGAAAAACTGACGCGAAGCAAAATCCTGAATGGATTGCTGGAACATTATGTGGAATCTGCAAAGAGAAATCGATCTTTATAAGGCCGAGCAAACCGTTACCCGAGACTTACAATAAGAGCAAGGATGTATATTTGCATTCCAGTAAGACGTCAAAATATGCCTTACCCCTCAAACGTGGAGATAAAGGTGAATTTGTCCTTGGAATCGTCAACAAAGAAAAACCAGAGGCCCAGAAATTTAGGGCTACGGTTTATGGGCCACGAACCTACGAGGAACTCCTGGATTATTTTGACCAATATACGGAAGTTTTGAAGTCAACGGATTGTAAGAATGCACTACTTGAAACACTGTCGAACACAGCGATGTGGAAGTTTTTGGGATCGCCTTCTTTTGCATCTGGTATGTTTATATTTTACTGATTGTCTTATTATAGGTTGAAAATTTATATCTTTTGGCAGTCACCTTTTACCCGAAAGACTTCATATACTTTCATGGGGATTGTTTGAATTACTCGCAAACTTGCATTAACGTGGGAAACCCCGCTATGACTGCAGCATTGATAATGAGATGATGTTTAATAATTTGCTAATCTACTTGTCTTCAATGTAGTTCCCAGGGTAAATGATATCAAGCCTTCCCATAAATTTATTTGATTTTTGCGATCTATCTAATTGACTGTGAACAAAAAGATAGCCAACGTGCATTGCGATATTTTTTCTGCTAATGTAATTTCTCGAGTAAAAAAATTCATATTTTCATTTCAGACGATCACATCATGCAGTTGCACTACACCCAGGAATTTCTTCATTTGTTGCAATTGATTTTACGTGTTGGTAAACAATTCAAAAACCATTTGGAACTAGTGATGAAAACTGTAGTTCAAGGAGTATTTTTCAGCTCCTCCAGAGATGGCCCGTCCTTGGTATCCATTATAAAGCAAAGTAACTATACAAGTTTTGCTACATCCGATTTACTCTACGTTCGCGACACACACTACTCAATTTCAGATGAGCTGATCAAAAACTTTTGTATTGATGTGGTTCGTCAAGTGCCAGCGGTCTCTCGTTGTCTTTTGCCCGTGGTTCGTGTCATCAGCGAAGAAAAGTCTGATGCATCCAGTTTCTTGTTTGAGTTCCTATCTTTGGCTTTGTCAGGAGATAGTTCAATGGTCAGCAATGAAGGTAACATCGGCATTTATGCCCGTAAACTTTTCAGTATATCTAAAGAACAATGTCGACAAAGTATGAACACAGTTGTCTCTATAGAAATTTGTTGTGATCAACGAACAGCAATTTTAATATCGCCTAAAAAAATAAAAGAACTGCTGGACATTTTCAATTTCTTTGCGAGAAAATTGCTTGTACTATCTTTGTCACAAGATTTAAGTGACTTCACATATTGATAGAAGACGTACACTACCGACTTGCTTGACACCTGCATGTGTCAACTGGGACAAAATTCAAGATGCTGCTAAAACGGTTGCTTATTAACGAAAATGAAATATCTTTTTAAAAGTTAATCTTTATCGATAGTGAATCGGTCAATTTTAGTTTTACGTTGACCAGTCGCACTTTTTCATGATTCGTGGCATATAAATGCCATATGGTTTGAATTTAAATTACTAGTAATTTACCCAAACATGATGCCATCTTCACTCTTCAGTATTAAGCCCTTAATAACCTTATGCAAACCGAGGAGACCTTTGGGAAGAGCAGATCAGTGCAAGACCGAGACCATTTGTTTTGGGTCAATAATAAATAAAATATTTGTATTAAAATTTAATGTATTACGGTCAGCAGTGAACTTTTGGGGACTTGAAATGACTTTATCTTTGATGATAACTTAGCAATAAAAGAACACGTCCTGTCCTGTGTGTCTTTTTAAAACACCACTCTGGGTTAGTTTTAACTTACTAACATGAAGTGTCTTTGAAGTTTACGTAGGATACCTAGTTAAATGCTGTAGCGTAAAGAAACTAATTTTTTATAGTAAATTTATCAAAACTCAGCAAGGAACAAACTGACTACATTGGTTGTCCGTCTGTTATTGTATTTTAACAACTGGGCTGCAGATATAAATTGTAGAAGCAAACAGGTGTGTCCTGATTAGTATGGTGAATGGTGCGTTATTAAAATTTATTTATCTGCTCTCTTTACCGCAAACCTTGTTAAAAAGCTTTGCGAATCTTTTTTTTCAGATGTTTGGCAAGATCTACCATTCATTCCGACTGATAATGAATTAGCCGGCAGCTTGGTTCAAGAGGACAGGCATCTGTCTAAGGTGAGGAACACTTACAGCAGTTCAGAGACGTATATGGATACCTACTTTAGACTTCTTCGTGCTGAAACATTTTCTGCCATACAAATTGGTATCAAGCAGTTTAAAGAATCAAAACTAGACAAGCGAGACATGAACGTGTATCACCACGTTCGATTGGCAGGTTTTCAGATCCAAAATGGCCGCTTCTCTCTAGTTGTCCAATTTACTTCCGATCGACCGGTGAAGAGCTGGAAGTCATGCTCTCGTTTGATGTTTGGAAATTTGATTTGCATATCGTTCAACAAAAAATTCGATGACGTCATTTGGGCAGTCGTGGCTAATAGAGATGAAGATATGTTATACAAGCATCAAATCATCACTTTGGATTTAATAGAAGATAACAATAAGAAAATGAGCGATGTTTTTTCTTCATTGCAAGCTCATGCAGGTCAGTCAAAGCATAATGAGTGATTCGAGACAGTTACAGTTTTGTGTTTTTGATGTAAGGTATATAAATAACCCACTTGTTTTAAGAGAAGTCAGTGGAAGTCTGCATTACTTTAGCGTACACCGTATTTCCCACATTTATTCGCATTGGGGTGGGTTTTTTTTGATGTGCATTACTATGTGTTATTCCACTAAATCGTTTGCACTTGGATAGAGTTATAACGATTGTCTTCGTTGTATTGTTTTTCAGCCTTGATTAGTTGTCGAAGTAGTTTGGTTTGACCTAAGTATGCTGCAAGCACCGTTATGTGTTCCGGCTGTATGCCGTTACGTAACAAATATTTAATAAGTTGTATGATTCGTTCAGCTTCTTTGGGGTTGCTGTAAGTTCTATCTTTAATCTCAGGATCATTGTGAGACCAAAAAAAATGAATTTCTCAATGCATTTTAGCGGCTCGTTCAGTGACACCAAAGGAAGATTATCTTGAAGATGTGGATAAATATCTTTGAGCAATGCCGAAAACTTCGGAAGCATTCGGTTTTGCTTTTTGAGTGATTTGTATGGGAAACCAGATTCTATCAATCATTCCATCATGGAAACATCAAATGAAACGTTTTGCAAAGCTCATATGTGTCGACTTGTGGCCTAAGTTGCTTATGATCCCCGATAGGTATGAGATGTTGAATGGATGGCGTGAGCGCAACCAGCAAACTAGGCTCGAGTGTTTCAGCGGCTTCCTTAAAGATCACGACACTTGGATCAATCTGGTAAAGTATATCATGATAAATTGACGCCCCTATGATAGTTACACCAATGATCTTCTTTTCTGACAAGTACAAAACTTTGTCGGTCATTTCTAACTCCTCTTTTCGACTTCTCAGTTTTTGCAACTGGTCTATTAAATCATTCAGTTCTTGGGACAAGCTATTTGTTTTCTCATTCATTATGGCATAAAGAAACTGCAGTTTCTGAAACTCGTTCAAAGCCCACATGTTTTGTACGGAGCGTATTTGGGAATTCACGACCATATTAGGGGGATAGTCTGAAACACTAAGCAATATATCGTTCCTATTCTTTGTGTTTGTTATATCAAAAAGAACTAAGTCTTTCCTACGATCAATTTGCTGGGCTCTTGCTCCCATTCTTATTTCTGTTAATTGTTTTACATAATCTTCGTCACCGCTGTCATTTCCACGGAGCGTTGAAGATTAAAAATTTTAGTTGCTCTTCTTCCATCTCTTCAACTAGACTGCTATACGTAAGGAACGAGCTTCTCTCCAGTTCTTTGACAATTTGCTTTGTTTTCACTTAAATGTTGTCGATTTCAACAGAGGTGTTCCTTATCTCAGTGTTCGTGGCTTTATAGTAAACAATTTCTTTCCAAAGACGTTTTAATTTAAAATATTCTAATCGAGGTTCTTTCGATCGACCTCCAATCCTGACCATATCATTAATGTTACAAAACTCCAACATGTGTTTGAGAAACTCGTCAAGAGCGTGGTTCTTGTACGTCAACAGTAAAATTGGTTTCTCCAATTTTGGAGACAGTGATAGCAGCAACTGAACTATTTTCACACCAATAAAAGTTTTACCACAGCCTGGTGGACCTAAATGCAAGAAAATCATGTGAAGGTTGAATGTGTATAAATAATTTTATTTTTTTGTCTAATGCTAAAGTCTTGCAAACTTTCTTCGTGCAAAAAGATATCTGTAAACATCAAATTCAACATTGGTGAATTAAATCAGGAAATATAACAATGTTGATTTCTTGACAATTGTATCAATGTCGTGTTTACTATTCGGCATGAAAATGAAAAATCACGATTTGTAGCTGATTCGATATGCTGTACTCTTAGTCAATCACATTGCCGTCGAGTTCACATTACTTTTCGTTGTAGTGTTGTGAACTTTGTTCAAACTTTCGGATGCTCGTTGCAAAATTCGCATGTCGTCTTGTGAAATTTTCAAGTCAGCATCTAAGTCCATTGTGATTGTAAGATTAATTAAACTTTACAATCCTATATGCCTTAAATTTACATGTAAAGTTATTTGCGTGTGGTTTTCTTTGTATATATATTGTGTATTATTGCGTTGCTAAAGTAACCTTAATCTCACCTTGAATAATGCCAATTCTGTTCTTCAAAGCATGCACAAGCGCTCTTCTTTGACTTTTTTCTAAAGATGTTTTTCTACTGTTCTTGAAAACTTTCAAGAAATTCTTGACTTGCATGCGATGTCCAAGATTTTCCTCCGAATTAGCTTGTTGTTCATCTCTGTTATCGTCATCAATACTCTCTGAAGAGTCACTTGAATAGATTTCTTCCGAGTCATCGTCAGTGGGATTCTCATGTAAAACTATGGATGTATCGAATGTCGCCTCTCTTAAGTACTTTGTGAGTTTCGCTGAGGCTTTCGTGTAGACAATTTCTTTTTGCAGAGGAAAGTTCTCCATGTCGAATTCTTTCAGACTTTTCAAGACTAGACTCAAGGAATGATAATATGTTGGAGACTCCACCAAAATTGCAAAAGCTATAATTTTTTAAAATGTTGCGTTCTTTCAAAGTCTCATAACTATTTTGTTTTGTTTTTTTATGGAAATTCATTAAACAAAAAGTTCGTATCACTTTCTTCTTACAGCGGTCGTTACATACTTTGATACAAATACTAAAGGTAAACATGCATTGCCATCAGGAGAAAAAGGCGAGATTTTTAAGTACCTGCTTGTGTTTGAAATGAATTCAAGATTGCACTCATACTTATTCGATTCTCATCTATTAGCTCTATCACGATGATCTGATTTTGATTTAGCAGATCTGTATTCCTATTGGTCACAGTTGCCCAGATAACGTCATCAAACTTCCGGTTAACTGAGATGCACACTAGGTTGCCATACATAAGTTGGGTTGAAGCTTCCCATTTTTCACCTTTTTAGTTGGTGTAAAATGAACTGCCAGAGAGAACCGACCATTTTGAAGTTCAAAACCAGCCAGATGAAGATTATAGTAAACATTCATATCTCGAAGATCAAGAGTGGATGATTTTAGATCTTTAATACCATGTTGCATTGCAGAGAACGCTTCTGCACGAACTAAGCGAAAATACGTGTCCATATACTGCTCAAGATTGTCGTAAGGAGTGTTCAGTCACACTGGTGTAAGATTTTTGTCTTTCTCTATCAAATTACCATGAAGTTCTTCTTCATTTGGTATTAAAGGTAATTCTAACCAAACACATCCGTACATAACAAAGCCGTTATCTCCTCGACAATTCAACGATAACAAAGTGCATGAAAATTTTTGTGTTGAACTACTTTGTTTTTTAGCACTTAGGGCATTCACTGTTGGTAGAAAGAAGTGAGTCAGAGTGGGGACTTTACGGATTGCTTCAGGACAAATGTTACGCAATAATTCTGCAGGAAGAATTTTCTCTTCATCTTCCATGTAAAACATGTCGGTTTTATTGTAGTTGCAAGATAGGATGGTCTTGGGAATGCTCAACAAATGATCATCTTCGGTGTCTTGAAAAACTGTACCACGTGTAATGCTCTTCTTGTAGAGATTTGTAAGCTTTTCCATACTGAAGAAGCAACTGTAGTAGGTCTATTAATGCTTCAATATATGACATGTTTGCTGATGATCCATCGCCTGTTAAAGATGATAATAAGCTATGCAGCGATACATTTAACTACCTCAGAAAACGTAGGTTTAACAAATGGGTACTGTTTGAGATGAAAATGGTTGTTCATAAATAAATGAATGTTAACTTATGGCAAATTCTAATTTTGAATTTAAATTTTCGCTTTCTACAAGCGGCTAGTTTAATTGCATGCAAATATTTATACAGTTTATATTGGTGGTATGGAGCACCACCAATATAAACTGTTTAAATATTTGCATGCAATTAAACTAGCTCATCTCGCGTCTCCTGAAATTATTACCCTAATTTGACGATTTGAGTGAAAGGAGGAAAATGCTGATTAAGCAATTACAAAAGAAAATCATCGTAAAATCATGAAAATAACACGCAAAGGTTTTAGTTTTGGTATGCTTGAATTGTTTAACTCTAAAAGTTTTGCTTTCAAACTCGCTATAACTCAATGATTATTGGTCCTACGAATAGAACACTTACTAACCTGGCCCATCTTCAAAGACAGGGGACCCGAGGTATTTCCACATGGATGTGCAAGGCAAAACTTGGGTCAAAATTGTTTTACACTTTGTGCTATTCAAGTCCATGTTCAATCTCCGCACGTACTTGATCACGTCGTTTTGAAATCTTAGTGAGTATTGACACACGCGTACTTTAATCGCCATTGGTCTTGACTTGTCTCGATCTCCAAGTATAAATTCCAAAATGTCTCCTTCAGCAACCGGTAGAACTTCTTTCGAAATGTAGTTTGGATACAAAAAGACATCTTTTGTTTTTTCATAGCCATCTGGAAGCTCAGAAAATGGTTTGATAAACCATGCTGTTTCTTTTCTAATGGGACACAGTCTACCTCTTAACCATTCCGTCGTTTCTTGAGCTTTGAGTTGTATCGTCTTAAATTTTTTCTTATGCGTGTTCATACCTGTGTCAGGGCAGTTAAGTTATAATGGAGTTCCTGGATGAAGAAAAGATTGAATTGATTTTTTATTGAAATGTTATGATGAATTGTTGTTGAAGCTAAAGCTTTGCTAAATGTTTTGATGCATTTTCTATAGAAAAATTGCTTACGGGGTATATAGTGCAAAGGTATAGGCACAGAAAAAGCAAAGAACGTATACAAATTATTTGACTGCAAACTCTGTACAACGGCAAGTATTCTCTTTTAAATTACGTTGTGTCCTTTGTAAACAAGCCGAATGTGTCCTTTGTGTTAAAAGTATGCAAAATATTTGATTGTAGTCTGCCTAAAATGGCAACTGAAGGAAAACCTACAACAAGATTTTATGTATATGTCTATAGATAACGATATGTTGAAAAATATCACTCAATTTTTACCAAAGAACCGAAGAATCAAACGAGAACAAAGAAATATGTGGATGTTATTTGAGCATTTAACTTTTCTTCCATACGAAATAGCCGGTATATTATTGCGACATCAAAATAGCCCAAGATGTACAATTCTATTTTACACAACTGAACCATAAAATAATAACTGTTATATATAACAGAAACTTCTATGAAATTCCTTACTTTACAGAACATACCTTATAGATGACTGCTTGGATATCTGACGGAGCAACTTATATTCAAGCAAGTCAAAGCGTAACAATAATGTCTGAGTTCGTGAGAAATTAAATAAGTAATTTACATTTCATTTTCTAAGAACTAGGATTTTTCTAATTCGGAGGGGTTTGGAGTCGAAAGGGGACATCGTTGGCAAGGTTACTTACATTTTCGTTTTTCGATTTATTACCAAGATTCTTTATTTTTGCCATGTAGATGCATTTTTCGATAATCGTAACAGTTATTGAAGCATTCAAGCAATAAACTTTTATCTTATATATGAAAGATTAAGGAATGGAGGTGACTGAGATTTGAAGTTGCATATGCTCAATTAAGCATTCTCGTGGAATATCATGTTTGTATTACATAAGAAAATACACTTGTTTGAAAAGAATTATATCGAAATCCTTGACCTGAATTATATTTCAAGTTTCACAGCACGAACTGTGTTATTTTTAACCTTTGACACGCCACGCTGAAATAATATTGTCACCACCTTTCATGACCAGAAGCATAAATATGGCTCAGTAGTTCCTCATAAATTTATGATCTAACGCTTCACAAGCTATTTCTCTTCATCTATCGGATGCATGCATGCATTGAGAGGATAATATGCTTTGTTCTTTTTTATCTGTACTGGCGAATAGAATTTTGTTTTGTGCGTTTTTCATTGAAATATGCTAAAGTTAAGGCGCTTGATGTATAGGGCTGTAATTAGTAAGAGCTGAGATGGGTTTTTCTTGTGTACGGATACACTGTTGGTCAGTTCCGTAATTAGAACGGTAATTGGGGGTGTGTGTGCATATTCATATATTCCGTTGTGCCCTACTGATTTCTTCTGAAAGTAATTTGAATTTCAAAAGAAATCAGTAGGGCACAACTGAATATATGAATATACACCCCCCCCCCCAATTAACGTTCTAGTTACGCCTCTGCTCTTGGTACCATTAATCCTTATGATAACAACGCTGCTGTTTATGAAAATTAATTTAATAATTGTTCATTTTGTTCCCTATTCATAACTTGTTAAAACATAACTAATAGTAATGTTAGCGATAAATTACGTAAAAGGGTAATATCTGATTCGAGTCTTCAATAATTATCATCTCCCCACTGGCGTTTGCTTTTGCTGTCCCAGTTTGGTTCTTTAACAACACTTTCTTGGAATTATAACCTGCTGGTATATCGCGGCTAGTAGCGTCGACAAATTCCTTTCCAGGAAGTACACGGCACAAAAGAAGACCCTTTCCATAACCTAAGCTGATCCTTGGATACTCCGAGAAGTAATTTCCTTTACCAAACTTCTGTCGCTTTGCAAAGGACAACTGCAAATTTGACTTTATGATGCTGGGAATGTTGACAGGATCCGTTCCATGATAAGCAAGGATTTCTTTATCATTAATTCCTAATATTCTAAATGTTTTTCGTGTTGCTTCAAACTTTTGTTCGAGGTCTTTGTTTATCACGATGTCAATGGAGGTGATCTGCTCGGTCAACGCTGGATTTGTCTGTTTGGACATTCTTAGAAAATGGGACTCAGCAGCGTTATAGTATGCGTTGAAAG